CTCTCTCGCTCTCTCTCGCTCTCTCTCTCTCTCTCTCTCTCGCCGCCCCCCCCCCCTCGCCCCAGCGCCCGTCCTGGTAGTGGGGCAGACCCTTAGAGGAAAACAACACGTGAACTGGGCCTTGTCTACGCTCGACCTTGGCTGCAAATTCCCTCCCTACTACAACAACAACAAACCACCAACCCTCCGCTCCTCCTCGGCTCGCCCTGCCCCTCGTTGCCGCCCCCCTCTACTCCCTGCTCCGCCCCTGCGGCCCTTGTAATCTCTTCACCCACTAGATACCCCTCTTTGAGGCCGGGAAACACGCCCTTTACTCAGTATGGATATCAACCAGGTGTTGGAGGGAACTTACGCTGCCGGTACGCTGCCTCTGCTCTATCTCTCTCTCCCTCTCTTTCCCTCTTTGCCTCCTCCCCACACGATGCTTTTTTTTACTCTCTCTCCCCTCGCACCAGGTTTTGCGGCTGACTCTCTCGTATAGATGCCAGCATTCGTAACAGCGCAGAGCAGCAGCTGCAGCAGGCTGCCGACTCCAACTTTGTAAGTCCCCGCAGCACAACAAGGCTGCACGGCACTGCACGCAGCCTGCGCAAGACACATGTACTAACGCCTTTGCCTCGCCTCAGCCTCAATATCTCACTGTCCTCGGTGGCGAACTCGCAAATGAACAAGCCGCGCCGCAAATTCGGCAGGCAGCCGCCCTGGCGCTGAAGAACGCTTTCACCGCCCGCGAATATGCCCGGTTACGTCAGGTCCAGGAACGATGGCTCGGCCTCGACCCCCAGATCAAGCAACAAGTCAAGCAAATGGCCCTCAGCACCCTCGCCACGCCAAACAAGGGCGTGGGCTCTGCTGCCGCACAATTCATTGCCTCGGTCGCCGCCATCGAGATACCCCGCAACCAATGGCCGGAGCTCATGACGACGCTCGTCGAGAATGTCGGTCAGGGCAGCGACAGCCAAAAGCAATCTTCGCTCACGACAATTGGCTTTGTGTGTGACACAGACGACGTGGAGCTGCGCGACGCCCTGGCACACCACTCCAATGCCATCCTGACGGCCGTTGTCCAGGGTGCCCGCAAGGAGGAGACCAACAACGATGTCCGCGTGGCCGCCATCAACGCCCTCAGCGACTCGATTGAATTCGTCCGCTCCAACTTTGACAACGAGGGCGAGCGCAACTACATCATGCAGGTCATCTGCGAGGCTACACAGGCCGACGACACGCGCATTCAACAAGGCTCGTACGGATGCCTGAACCGCATCATGGGCCTCTACTACGACAAGATGCGCTTCTACATGGAGAAGGCGCTATTTGGTCTGACAATCCAGGGCATGAAGAGCGACGAAGAGGATGTTGCCAAGCTAGCCGTGGAGTTCTGGTGCACCGTCTGCGAGGAGGAGATTGCCATTGAGGATGACAACACACAGGCCCAGGCTGAGGGCTCCACGGAGCTGCGAGAATACTTCAACTTTGCCCGTGTCGCCACTCAAGAAGTCGTCCCTGTGCTGCTAGAGCTCATGGCTAAGCAGGATGAGGACGCTGATGACAACGAGTACAACACTTCGCGTGCCGCATACCAATGTCTGCAGCTGTGGGCTCAATGTGTCGGCAGCGGCGTCATGCCGCCTGTTCTGGCTTTTATTGAAAAGTACATTCGCTCTGAAGACTGGCATTACAGGGATGCGTCTGTTTCGGCCTTTGGCGCCATCATGGAGGGGCCCGAGGAATCAGTTCTGGACCCTATTGTCAAGCAAGCGCTGCCGACTCTGATTGGCATGATGGACGACCAGAACATCCACGTCAAGGACTCGGCTGCCTACGCATTGGGCCGCATCTGCGAAGCCGTTCCCAGCGCGCTGGACGCACAGCAGCATCTCCCCCCCCTCATTGGCGCCCTCTTCAACGGACTTGCCAGCAACCCCAAGATGGCCGCTTCTTGCTGCTGGTCGCTGATGAACCTGGCTGATCGGTTTGCGGGAGAGCCTGGATGCCAAAGCAACCCGCTATCGCCTCACTTTGCGCAGAGTGTGCAGAGCCTTCTGCAGGTTACCGAGCGAGCTGATGCCGACAACACACTGCGCACTGCTGCGTACGAAGTGCTCAACTCGTTTGTCAACAATGCCGCTGGCGACAGTGTTCCGCTTGTTAACGAACTCTCAAATGTCATCCTGGAGCGCTTGGACAAGTCGATGGCGCTCCAGTCGCAGGTTGTCAACGTTGAAGACAAGCTGACTCTCGAGGAGATGCAGACCAGCTTGGCCAGTGTCATCATGACCATCATCCAGCGTCTCGAGACCGACATCAAGCCTCAGTCTGACCGTATCATGCAGGCCTTGCTGAGTCTTTTGTCGTCGCTACCGCCCAAGTCTAGTGTACCCGATACCGTATTCGCTGCTATTGGATCCATTGCGACTGCGCTCGAGGACGACTTCCAAAAGTACATGGAGGCATTCTCTCCCTTCCTCTACAATGCCCTGAACAACCAGGAGGAGCCCGCGCTTTGCTCCATGGCCATTGGTCTCGTTGCTGACATTACCCGATCGCTCGGAGAGAACGTTCAGCCCTACTGCGACGCCTTCATGAACTCTCTACTCAACAACCTCCGTAGCCCTGCTCTGGGCAACCAGCTCAAGCCTGCTATCCTGCAATGCTTCGGGGACATTGCACACGCCATCCACGGCGCCTTTGAGACCTACCTTCCTGTAGTCGCCCAAGTGCTCCAACAAGCTGGTCAGGTGACTCTTACGACCGAGGGCAACTACGAGATGATTGACTACATCACCTCTCTCCGGGAAGGCATCATGGACGCGTGGGACGGATGCATTGTCGCGATGAAGAGCAGCAACAAGACTCAGCTCATTGTCCCGTACATGGACTCGATTTTTGATCTTCTGCGAACCATTCAGCAAGACAGCAACCGCACCGAGGCTCTCCTCCGATCTTCGTGCGGTGTCATTGGGTAGGCTTCAAACGGGCTTGTCTTGCGGACGAATACTGACGCTTCTTAGTGACCTTGCCGACGCCTTCCCTGCAGGTGACTTTAGGGAATACTTCCGCCACGACTTCCTTACCGCCATGGCGAGGGAGACACGCGCGAATGCAGACTTTAGCGGCCGCACGCGCGACACTGCTCGATGGGCACGCGAGCAGATCAAGCGCCAGATTGGTATGTCGCTCTTCAGCAATCCCTATCTTCGACCTGCTCTTCACTAGTCGTCGCCCCAATATATCTTATCCAGCCCACTGACGACTATGTTTCAGGCGGCGGCCAAGGCGTCATGGCCTGAGTGTATTAGCATAACCCCCCTTCCCAGCGCCACGGACTTGGGCTGTGTATTGGTCATGATGTTGGATAGTCTCTTCCGAGGTTGCATCTAGCATGACTAAGACATGGATTCTAGTACCCTTCCGCATCCCCCAGCTCATTGTCGATCGGCTTGAAAGACGTAACCGTGGAGCAAACTGCGGTTCTGCGGGATCGGTGCTCCGTGCGCTGAGTAACCCGTGTGTCGTTCTTGATGGAGTGCCGATGCCCCCGGTTGTTTGCCGTCGTAATCGACGGTCTCAGGTCTCTGACGTCCACGATCCCACGCCGTTTCCAGACATGCTAGTGATGGAGCAACCACTCAGTATGGAGATGACCGTTAGCCAGAGCATGAACATCACCATAGAGTTAGGCGACTACGTTGACACGCCTGCGTCTTACGGCTAGTACCCGAGGAACCGAAGTCGATGAAGACGTGTCTCCCCATTGCACACCGGCCCACAACACCCCCCCAGACACCGCGGCACCCGACCCCAGCACCATGCCCCGACCCGAATCGCATAGCACCCATTCTCCAACAGCATCATGTAGCACTATAAGTCTTGTAAGGCAGAGTTCCCTCGTGGTATTCTTGCCAGGAGAAAGAATAGATTATTCGTCTAGTTTTTGTATCTGAAGTTTACTTTTCACCTTTTCACTTTTTTTTTGCTTTTCCAGCCTCATCCATGCCCGGTTCTTGACTGTTCCATGATTTGTGAGGGTGTTCTTGTTGCCCTGCATGTGCCAATACACTAGGATGAAGCTGGGTGTTTTATAGTTGTAATGATAGATTTGAAATTGATTTGGTATCGAGTGTTTGATGTTTGCTGATGTTTGCTGATGTTTGCTGGTGTTTGACGTTTGTTTGACGCTTGTTTCATGTTTGGTGGTGGTAGTAGTGATGAGCGTACAGATGATTGAAGAGAGAGAGAGGTGTTTTTTTTTCCGGCTCTCGTTTGTACCAAGACGAAAAAAAAAGAGAAAAAAAAACAAGCCTAAAGCTTGACTGAAATATATACAGGAGAAGAAGACGAAGAAAAAGAAGATGGCGGATTCTCTCGGTCCGCCCGTGTACCCACGACTCGCCACGGCCGTTTATTCTCTTCACCTCACCTCACCTCACCTCACCTCACCCAAACTCAACTCAACTCATCTCAACTCAACTCAACTCAACTCAGATGAGTTCACACACAACATCGACCATTTTTACAGCTCCTTTTTCAAAAAGTGCTCAGGCCGATGATCCGTCTCGTAATCGACATGGACATAGGCGCGCTCGACATCTGGCAGGCTCTCAAGCTTGATCTGCAGTTCCTCGGCTACGTCGTGGGTAGCGCGGAGCGAGGCATCTGGGTGCATGACGATGTCTACTTCGACGATGAGGCGGGGCCCGCTGTGGTATGCGCGGACGGTGTCGATTTGGAGTATGTGTGGGGAGTGCGTCATTGCTTTTTGGCATTGTTAGTTTTGATTTGTACAAAAAAAAGGGGGGGGGGGATTTCTGACCAAAGGTAGATATAAAAGGGGAAAGGGAAAGGGAAGAGACTTACAAATATAGGTAATGTGCTGGAGGAAATTGGTATCAGCGGTAACGCCAATGAGGAGCTGAAACTCGGAGTAGGCGGTTCTGCTCCAGAGGAAGATGATGAGGACGGAGAGGATGAGAGCGCCCATGGGGTCGATCCACCAGCGCAGTTTTGAGCCGCCGACGCTGGTCAGGACACCGAAGCCGTTGATGAAGAGGTCGTTGCGGTGGTCTTCCCACAGAATGCGGACTTGGCTGTACTTGTTGCGCAGCGCCCAGCAGTACAGGAACAGGCTGAATTTGGTGGCAAAGGCGACGCTCACCGCGATGACGGACGGCAGGAAGAAGTCGTTCTTATCGGGCCCCGAGTGCTCGGCTACGGTGCGGATGGATTCGACAATGATGACGACCGACACGGTGATCATGAGGGCGCAGAAACACAGGTTTCCCGCCGTCTCGATGCGCGCTTTGCCCGAGGGAAACTTGCGTGCGTCGACGCGGGCTACGGCGCGGTTGCACATGATGAGCGTGAGGTTGGAGAGGGGGTCGAAGAGCGAGTCGGCCATGGTGGTGAAGAGCGACAGCGACTTTGAAGCGATTGCGGCGTAGAGCTGCAGCACGGCGAGCATGATGTTTGCGACAAAGGAGCCAATGACGGCGATTTTGTACTTGAGATGGTTGGCATGGTCTTCTTCCTTTGCGGCGCGGCGATGGTCATCGACGGGCTTGAGCAGGCGCTCTATATTCTCGTTTTGGGCGGCGTAGAACTCCTCGAGCTTCTTGGCGGTGCGCGCCTTGCTGGTGAGGGTAATGGGCCCGCAGCCATCGCGCTTGCGCGACGTGTTTGCGCGGATGAGGGCGAGCTCTGATTCGGGCTTAAGGGCTGCCGACAGCTTGTAGGGGTCCGTGTCGGGCGTGTAGGCGGGCGGAGACTGCGATTCTAGGTCGGCGGCGCGTGTGCCAGCAGGAACGTGGCGGGCGTGATGGTCGCTGGTGGTGGTGGTTGAGGGGGAGCGTTGAATGGCAGTGCTGCTGGCCCCAGATTTTGCATTGGCGGCGGCGCCATCAGAGAGGGTGACGTTAGCACCGCTGGTGCTGCTGTTGTTGTTGTTGTTGTTGTTGTTGTTGTTGTTGCTGGTGCTAGGGCCGTGATGATGATGATGCACGTGTGGGCTCGATGTGCGGTCGGGATGTGGATGTGTGTGGAAGGGATGCGGTTTCATGGATATGGCATGGTGCAGATCGGGCTCGGACATTTTTGGCAGCCAAGTGACAGGCAGGCTAGAATGTGCTAAGTATGTGTGTAATCAATAGCAGCAGCAGCAGCAGAGCGCATGCATGCAAGAAAAAAAAAGGGCAGATGGAGAGGGGTGGCAGAGAGAAAGGGGAATGCGGAGCGAGAAGAAAAAGAACAGAGCGCTCGAGGGTGGCCGTCAATCAAGCGCCTCGATTAACGCCGTCGTGGTCCTCATCCAGGATAGATGTGCACATGCGCAGGCGGCCAAGTAGGCCCGGCAATGGCCAAGCTGGCCCAAGTGCGCGGGCCGAGCTTGGTTGCCTCTCAGCCACGTGGGGGAGGCCGTGATTGTGATTGTTGTGGTTTGCAACCCACTCCATCGACGCAGCAGCCATGGCGCACGCGACACCGACCCGTATCGTGTTCTGGCAGACGCTGTGCACGACACCCGTTTTGACGTCTGTCAGAGCAGGGCCTACATCTCCCCCGCACATGTGTATACACAGATGGGGATATCTGCGCCCAAGACACGCCAACGCGGCGTAGATACCGCACACCCCGCCTTGAGTCGCCGCCAGCCAAGCAAACAAGCCCAAGCCCAAGCCCAGCACAGCACCGCTCTGGTTATCGATAACGCCCTGCGATATCGTCATCACCACCCATGCTGCACCTCCGCTAACAGCTAATACACGACGCCTGCACCGACCTGTCGAGCCATCATCAGCACATGCACCTACTACTGCTGCTTCTTCTCGGCAATGCCCTAGACCAATTCTCACTCAGACGGCCAGAACGCTGCCCTTGATGCTAAGCTGATTGTCCGTCTCGGCCAAGAAGATACATACAAATGTGCCCCGCATCTGCCACGACGACGCTGCATGCATAATGTACAAGGGGAAAGTTAGCCTTGCTGACTTCACCGGAAGCTGCCGTTGTCTTCTCTGTCTGCACATGCCATGTCTCTCTTGCTTTCACCGTTACGCCGCGCGCCAATCCACACGGCCAAGAAGTGGCGAGTTTGGCTGTATATTTCTGAATCAACATCAGACATACTTTCTACAGACACCACCTCATACCACTACATACACCTGCTAAGCACCATGGTGCTTACATGCCTCCATCCACCCTGTATCCAAGTGCGCTGTATCGACCATGTCCCCCGCCTCACCTCTCCGTGTCTATCCTTTTAGCAAGAACCAGTAATCCGGGTATCAAAAAAAAGCCGCAAACGAGCCTCCCCTGTCCATCAGAAGGACAAACCGGTGGCAAAGTGGGTACAAAAACAAGCGTGCTTAGACATACATGCAAAATGCAAGCGAATAGAAGAGAAGAAGAAAAAACGCTGTACACATGCCTGCAACAAAGAAAACAGAGATACAAAAGGCTGCAGTGCGATTTGAAAAGTGTTGAAACGAGAAAACATGTGGTGAAAACGTATTAAAAAGCGGTAAGTAGGGAAGACCTAGTAGTAATAACAACACGATCGACCGCGTGGGCGGCGCCGCTGCTACTCATGAATAGGTCCCGCGGCTAAGGCCTTTCAACCGCGCAACAGCCTAGACGCGCCCTGCGATCGACACGCAGAAAAGAATAATGTCCAATTTCAGGCAATTGTCTTCCACGACTCCTTTTTTCATCGCAGCCCTCTGCGTCGCGCTGGGGCTTCCTTTTGTCCGCTAAGCGCCACCCATGAGACCGCTTCACGGCCGGTGCTTAGGAGAATTTCTTCTCTTTGATTCCGACCAAATCGCATCTTGGATACCTTTGCATGTGTGGGGCTCGACAGGTAGTAAGCCTGGCACCATACATAATATCGTAGCAGTGCGGATGACTGTTATGCACACTTTCATATAGCAGCTGATCCGCATTTCCGACGCTCCGGAACAGCACCCCGCAAATACAATATTCGGAAGATCGACAGGAGCTCCATCATGAGCTGCCTGGCTGACCGAGTCAATGTCCATGCATCCAACATGCCCCAGCGGGTCCAGAGTCCTGTCCTGTACTCGAGAACTCGTATTCGTTGCCCAGCCCAAAAGGCGTCTCGAGCATGTCCGGCAGGTTTGTATCCCACATCATGTCGTCCCACAGGTTGTTTAGAATAGTCGGGTCCGTTCGCGAGTTGGCCCACGTTGGCGTTGCAGGATTGTAGTGACCGTACATGGCTGCGTGTTGCTGTGTGTACGCGCCGGCATCCGTATTGATCATCGGGGGCGCGTGAGTGCTGGGGACACCAAAGTAACCATGTACCTGTGCTTGACTCTGCTGCTGAGCATACCCAATCGGCGACACCACCGATTGTGACTGATGGCATGCCGTCGAAGCTTGCGTCTTGTATGCTGCATACAGCCGTGTGACAACGTCGCCGCTTCGCTTGGACGCAATGCTCCAGTCCTTGGCCGTCTCGAAAAACGTCAGTGCTGTCTCGATGCTGGCTTTCCACTTTTCGGCTTCTTCGGGTATGCTGGCGTCGCTAAACAGTGATACCAGAGGAACCATGCAGGCCTGGAAGCAGAACCAAACTCCGTTCCAACAGGAAATGAGATCGGGCATGCACTCGCGACTAATGTCTTCAATCGTCTTGGCGGCAATAAGGCGGCACTTTCGGACTGCAACCTTCTCCTCTGCGCTTAGACTAGCCCACGGCAAGCGCCACAGTGCTGTGGTAAGCAGAAACGGTCGGTGGAGGATAACACGAATGTTCTGGTGACGCCACTTCATCACCAGTCGGGTTCGGCGTAGGAATTCCGGACATGGCTCGCTGGTATTGGAAATGATGGAAGGCAGCTCTTCATGCCATTTGATCAGCTGAGCGTCGTAGTTGGCCGTCTCGGTAGCGGAGAGAAGCGGGCATTCCACAAGACGGTCCTGTATCCTGGTAGCTATCTGGCAAAACGCAGAGGTGTAGATGAGCGGAAGAATCTTGAGTTGTTCGATATAATGAGGGCTGGTGGGTGGCGGTATGGCCTGTGCCTAGAAACAGATTAATCAAGTGACAATCACAGCCAGGACATTGCTCTTACAGAATTTGCCGCCGTCCCAGGCCTCAAGACGGTAATCGAGGGACCCATACGCCCCAGTGAAGGCCGGCCGGTGGTGGTGGATGCCCACGAATCAAGACAGAAGAGACTCCACCATATGCGGCGCCTCATTTCAGGCGAGATGGAGTCCTCGTCACTGGGCGTCGTGGATTGTATGCTCGCATCCTTCCTTTCAGAATACTCGCGATGTAGGCCTAGTGAGGTCGCCATACGAAGCGTTGCGCCCATAAGTGAGTGTGCTTCATTCGGGCGGTTCAGGTAGTGCATGTAGAATCCGCTCATGATGGCCAAGGCCTGGAGCACCTCGAGATTGCCGCTCCCAAATGACTCCAAGGTCAAGTGCTTTCGCGATCGGTTGAAGTACATGAGATGTGCCTCGTTGTCTGCACCCCGCGACGCAAGCGACCCCAGGGCAAAGACCATGTTCAGCAGTGCCAGCCATGCCGAGTCTTTGCGGTTGCCGTATGAAAAGGTGAACCAAAACTTGCGTTCATCGATCAATGGAAAAAAGGGGTGTACGCGACCAAAGTAGCTTTCCACCAGCTCTTGGCCATGCTCAGGGGGTGGTAATGCGTCTGGCCGATTATCTACCAGTTCCGGCGGCGGAGAGCCCGCACGGCTGGGCAGGGTCGTCTCCTGATTGTGATGTGCAATAAGCGAGCGTGCCTGCGGTGCGCATCGCACTATAACCTTGAGGGCGGCTGTGATGGAAGATATGCCAACATAAGACGACAGCTTGTCGACCGACATGGAAAGACCGTTGACATCATCAGAAATGCCCTGGACTCGCAGCTGGTGCTTCCGTGCCTCGTCCCAGTAAGGGTCTTCAGGTGGGGCTTGCTCGAGCGCCTCTAAACTCTCGGCTGCGTCAGAACCTACTTGTACATCGGACAAGGCCTGCTGCGAGTCTGCTGCTGAGGGCGGCGATGTGGTCGAGTTTGTTGCTGCAGAGGATAGGGCCAGTTGCAGCAGCTCTTCGCGCGGAAGGTTGGCCAGCGACTCAAGGTTCTTCACTCCATAGAGCTTGGTGAGCACGCTCTTGTACTGTTCAATGTTGTTGGAAAGCTTATCGACCAGCCTGTTGGAACCAATCAGTACGGCATATCGAGCACATTTCCAGCACACTCACTTTCTGCTGGGCACAACTCTTTGTGCAGGCTTCGAGTAGCCGCATGCCTCCGGGTGCTGGTACCACTGGCACTGGCCGCATGGTTGCAGGCCGTCGCAACGGATCTTGCGTCGTCTGCATTCGACACAGGCGTTACTTGTGGATATGCGTCGCGAGCCTGGTGGCCGGGATGGTTTGCCAGGACTGTCACTGTCGACACCCGGCGAGCGCATGCCGGACGACGACTGAAACGTGTGGAACATGGCTGCGATGGGTCCAAGGGCAGGGTGGTGGTGATAGTAGTGGTGCTAATGATGGTGATGGTGTGGTACGTGGAGCGGTCCACGACCGCGAGTCAGAGAAACGAAGATGCGAGGGCCAGACGGTCGGTTGGGGCGTAGGGTCAGTCAAATAAGTCGCGGTGGGGAGCACGGATTTACAGGTACAAAGAGGGACCAGCTGCAGGATGCCGGGAAGCAATATGGGTCGAGTGAGACTAGAAGTCGTCTGTGCCAGGGTTGGGGTATATTGGAGATAATGCGGATCGTTGGAGTAGGGCAAGCCTGGCGCCAGGCATATGCCAGGCACAGAGCGAAGCAAGCAAAGTCACACAGAGGCTCGATGTGACGAGGGATGCATCTGGCAGCTCAGGCGCCCGTCGTCATGATAGTGCTACGGTCGGCGGGCGGCGGCGACGGCGTGAATGTGTGTGGTTTGCGGCAACTAGCGGATCTCACAGGGCCGAGTGACGAGATGACAGTCCAAAGTGGACACGAGCGAGGGTGTAGTCCCCGCATTATAACCCATGAACCCTCATGGCCCCCCCTGCTCGCACGCGGCAGGGCAGTCTGGTGGAGGAGAAAAAACAGGCGAACGTTGAGACGGGCGGACGGGAACGATTGCGTCTGCGGCCAGCCAAGCGAGATTGGAAATGGGACGCGCCGTCGGCCCCCGCAAGGCTTCGAGAAGGGCTCCAGAAGGGAGGGGGGCAGTCGTGTGTGGAAGGAGAAGGCTGCCACTGACGCTGCCATGCATCAGACGGGCGCTGGGCTTGGGCATGCGAGCCCGCATTCGCTTTGACCTGTGTGGCGGCCGTGGCGGCTGCACTACTGCATGTCGTTTCAGCATGAGCGGTTCATCCTTCCCGCCACGATGAAGCACATACAGCGCTCGCGATCGCAGCACCGGCGATGCGCCTGGCGGTGGCGCACGTAGACGGATGACGGGGGTGATGGATGACGGATGACGGATGCTGTGTGGATCGGAGGCCTGTGGTGAGGTGAGGTGAAGGGGGGGAGGGATGGCGTGTGTGGGAGGTGAAGCAACGCAAGCAACGCAAAGCAAAGCAAAGCAAGAAGCTCATACCCTCGCGCTGGGAAGGCGCGCCCAGGCACAGGCCTCGGGGCAGCAGCTGCCGATCGACGGGGGACGGCGGTCAATCCTCCAAACCATGGCCATGCCATCATCCATCATGTCCATGTATCTCTAATATCATCATCCATCGTCCATCATCCATCGCCCATCGCCCATCGCCCATCCAGCCGCCAGCCGCCAGCCGCCGCCCTTCTCACTACCAGCCAGCATGCCCTTCCTGCCGGCATGTCCATGTACGTGTAGGGTACGCACATACATTCACAGCGCCCACATGTGCGTGCCGCCGTCCACTCGCCGGGTCGCCAATGGCGCCTGGGCCGACCGACACCCCGTCCGCCGTTCGCTGCGCAGTGGCCGAGTCGTTTAATTAATCGTCGAAATCCGCCATGTTTGACGCACCGCCCCTCATATACGGCCCTTGGCTCGAGCAGCACGCCCGCGGGGTATACGTGAGGCGGCTATAGGGTCGCCCAAAGTCTACTCGACCAGCCTCAACGCTGAGCGCACCCCGGCTCTCTTTGCATTCTACCGCACGAGCGCCATGTGCCTGTGTCTCTCTCTGTGTGTGTGTCTCTGCCTCGCCTAGGCTCGCCGAGAGGCCCCAAAGCTACCCGCCGTGTCAGATACGAGCACATCTTACTGAGACATTATGTCTGCTAAAATCACAAAGGACTTGGTTGTTATGGGCCCGTCCCCCCGGCCCCCGGCCCTGTCAGCATGCACTGCCGATCGACACGACACGTGCTAACTAGTAGCTACACACTCACACCTGCTTTTGGTCTGCTATGTCGCTGCACGCCCCACCCAAAGCTACCACTGAACGAGATTTGTAACGTTGCACCGTTTGACCGGCATCCCCACAGCCGGCCCATGGTCATATGCAATCCGATCCTTCAATCTTTGCCCAGATATGTCCACTTGAGGGGCTCGTCCTGCTTGCCAAGCCCCCTCACCTTGATGACCTGCTCATCGCCAGGGACAATGTCAATGGCACTGTCATGGACCAGCACGCCCGAGCGCTCTTCAAAGACCAGTCCCTTTGTCGGTTTCTGCGCCCTGGCGACAATTGTCTCACCCTGCGGTATTACTTGGACGCCACGATGCTCGAAATCCAGGTACTTGAGCGGCTGCGGCCAATCCACGTCTCGCGACACAATCTCCCCGTTGACCCAGATGCGTGCAGCTAGGACATGCGGCTCCTCGTTCCGGTTGTCAATTGTGCCAGACAGCACGTCGGTGGTGCCGTTGGCGACGAGTTCAATGTCCCTTTTGATAATCGCCTCCTTAATCTCCTTCCCACTCTGCACGCTAACGTACCGCAGCTCAACAGTCGCAGTCACTGGATCAGCATGCTGGCTCGCCACCCAGACCTCGTAGTCGCTCGTGCTTGGCACTCTTGCATGCACGACGCTCCAGTCAAAGTGGGCCCGCTTGACGGCCACGGCAATGGGCGCAAGCACCCTGCGCATGGCATAGTAGGCCGGCTTCTTGCGCTGGAAGTAGTCGACAATGGACCACGACGTGACTGGCCAGCAGTCATTGAGCTGCCACACGAGGGCACCACCGCAATGTCGCTTTTGACCCCACTGACGTCGCCAGCCCCGGTAGCCAAACATGAGTGCTTCGGCCTGCGAGAGCTGTGTGAGGTGGATAAAGGACTGTTATTCGTCGTCAGCATCTATAAACCCTATATTAGGACCCACTTGGCCATAGTTCTCGACCATAAACCGGGTAACTGTCGACGCGGCACATACCTCTAAATCAGTCTTAGTGCGGAAGTTCTCCACCAGATACGTAGCGATGCGCCGCTCGTGGCCATCTGCCTTGTTGTGAAAGTCCAACATATGGCTTTGCGGGTACAGCTGAGACGGGTCTGTGCAATAGTGCTTGATGGTATCAATGTGCGGGAACGCCTCCATGCCAAACTCACTGTTGAAGCGCCCGCCCAGCGTGTCGAAGATTTGGTACTTTTCCTGGGTGCCATGCCACACTGCGTGCGTCGTAAGCGTATTGAAAAAAAATCACATGCAGTAATAGCGAGGGGGCGTTACCGTTCCACTGGTGCATGTCACCCACGGTGGGATTCGACGTCCTGAGCCCGTCGCCCCAGGGCGACCCCGGGTGGTAGGGCACATGAGGGCTTTGCGCGGCGACAACGTCAGGCAGCAACTAGCCACATTGCTTGTGAGTCCAAGTGGCCATTGCCCTTCATTGGCTGCCCACTCACCTTTTCATAAATGTACCTAGCCGGGAAATCCGTCTTGAGCCAGCTCTCCGGATCCTTGTCGTCGTAATCGTAGGTCAAGCCATATGATTCCTGCACCTGATAGTCCTCGTTGTTGCCGGCATAGATGACGATGGAAGGGTGATGTCGCAGTCGGGTGACGTTGGCGGTACATTCTTCCTTGATTGAGTGCAGCAGGTCCGGAAAGGCGGGATAGTTGCCGCAGCCAAACATGAAATCTTGCCACACCAGCACACCAATCTCGTCGCAGATGTCGTAGAAGATGTCCTCTTCCCAGATGCCGCCGCCCCAGATCCGGATCATGACCTGGTAGCCGTCCACCATCATCTCGAGCCATTTGCGGTATTTGTCCTCGGTCACTCGCGGCGTAAACGAGTCTGCCGGAATCCAGTCTGAGCCGCCGCAGAAGACATCGACGTCGTTGACGCGGAAATAGAAACTCTTGCCAATTTCGTCGGGTTCCTGGATGAGCTCGCCTTTGCGGAATCCGGTTTTGCGTGACGCCTGGTGGATTTCCACGCCGTCTGCGAGGAGCGTTGCCGTGACGGTGTAGAGGGGCTGCGCACCATAGCCGTGCGGGTACCACAGCTTTGGGTTGTTGATATGAAAGTCGACCTTTGCCTTACCTTGACTGATTTTGGTGACTTCGTGGAAGACATTCGTATCGCCGTCAAACATAATGAAGCAGACACTGTCTGCACATGCGCCTTCAACGACTGCTGAAATGGCTCCCTGGACCGTCTTCAAGCTGTCGTCAAGCTGGTAATCCACCCGCAGGTCCTGGATCCTGGCTGCATATGTTTCCAGGCGCACCTCGCGCCAAGGGCCACACGTGTTGAGGATTGGGCCCCAGTCCCAGCCCCAGTGGTACTGGGCTTTTCTTACGCCAAGTCTAGCCATATCGCCATTGAAGCCCACCCACTTGTGCTCTGGATGCTTTTCTTTAATCTTGATGGCTTCGAGGCGGGCAGATGCAAAGTCGATTTCGAGCACGTTGTCCTTGCTGAAGGCCAGCTTCTTGGTGATATCCACACGATGCGGAACAAACATGTTGTTGCTCTCAAGTATAGTCTCGCCATTGAGCTTGACAGTCGCGAACGTGTCCAGGCCATCAAAGGCAAGTACGCAGACAGTTCCCTCTGGGGGCTCAGAGACTTTAGGCAGCTCGACCTTGTATGTCCAGGCCTTGCCGGCCACCCACTCCGCCTGGAGCTCATTGAAGCCTAGAAAAGGGTCGGGAATTCTGACTCTGGTTAGTTGTCCTCGGATGTATAGTCGCTTACCCAGATCGAAACATACTCGCCATTGTCCATCAAGTCCAGATGGACGTTCGTGGGGACCGACTTTACTGGTAGCCACACACCCCCCGTGTTGTCAGCTTGTTTAAAGTTCCACCCGTTCGCCAAACGGTGGCAGCTGAAAGTTTGATTTTGTGCCATGATGGGCACAGCTAATGCAGCCGTTTATCAGCGTCCAAGGCCGCTGGACTGTAGATAGGCGCGGTAGGTAGACACGTCTGGGGCGTGTCTTCTTCTTGAATAACCCCCAAATTATCTGCCTGCCATATAGCATTAGATGGTGGACTTGACCGGAGCAGGAGAGGCCGCGTTGAGATGCATCGAGCAGCTCATGGCACCTAGAGGTCGTCCGGATTAGACACGCGGAGCAGCGGCTCCGGTCCGAAAGCGGCTAGAGGCATGCCTGTTGTGGCCCTAACCGTCGGAAGAAATGGCCTCAGAGGCCGGCCTTGTCAGCTGCCCAGAGGCCACGCGGTACAGATACAGACTGTGAAGTCCAGGACTAGATCGGCCGCAGCTGTTCTGCGTCGCATGGGGAAATACTAGGCGGCATTCGGTCTCTCGTACACTGAAGGAATCGTTTTGACTGGGCCACATGCAGAGTGCGATTACTATTCCAGCAGTGTTGCGCCTGCAAAATTGCACGTTACAGTTTGTCCGCATTCCCGCGGGGCACAGCTACGAGGCGCAAATAAAATTATAAGGACTGTGGCACGGCTGTTGCAGTTGCGGGCGTCTTCCTCCGGTTCCATCGGCCTGCATCAGGCAACATCAGCTATGTACAGTATGCGTGTGGCATCCAGCAGGTACGTTGACGCTTCTCGTGTACGGTAAATAACTCGGCAGTATCAGGCATATATTATCGCTGATATGCCGACGGTCAGTGGGACACGACTGACATCGCGATGATGGAGAAATCAATTGTACTAGCGACGTAGGGTATAAAACTATCCAAACACGGAACGGCAGCAGCAGCGCGAAGCACCTCTGAAGCTCACATACAGCCAATTGCAATGCTTTCTCGCTACCAGAATTGTGGGATACAAGCAAAGGCTGCCGTTATCACAGTCACCGCCAACATGGCGCGGTCAAGTCGACATATTCCCGATGCAGTGCTCCTGCGGACCACGTCACTCCGGGCTCGTTTCAACCCCAGCGTAGCTTGCTTCTCGACTTTTCCTTGCTGTGCCAACTGTAGCATCTCATCCCTGTTTGTCGTGAGGATTGTCGTGGAGCGAGCACCCGGGCAAAAGACAACCTCGAAGCCGGCACCAGAAGGAATAATAAAGGTCGAGGTTTGGTCGTCGAACGCTGCGGCAAAGGGTCAGCTGTACTCGCCACAAACAGTTGATTCACAACACACCATAACTGTACGCGTCTGGGCAGACTTCCTTGACCTTCTTGGAGTAGAGGCTTGGCTGACACGAGCTGGGCGAGTCGTATTGTCCGGTACAGCAATCCTCGGGTCGGTTGTTCTTTGCGCACGCAGAAAAGCAGGGGTTGAACTGGGGCCGCTGGATGTTGTCGTCTGGATAGGGATAGACGCCGTCTCCAGGCTTCTCCGGGGGGTTCTGTTGCAAATCCCAGGGACACCATCTCGAAATCTTATTTCCATCCACGTCCTGGTCAAAAGGTAGCGGATACGACGTGTTGGTGCTGAGGAAGTCTGGATATTCCGAGTAGGGATCGTAACCTTGCGGAGCGAGCAGGCCGTCTGTGCCCTGGCACGACGGGTTGGTCAGATTTGGCGGGATGTCGTCTAGTGTGACGTTTTCAAGCGGCTGAAGGACAATTGCCATGGGCAGGTTGTAGCCATCGACCAACGAGATGTCATAGTAGGTGTGGCCATCGCCAGCGTCCAGAGTGAATTCAGCAAGAGAGACGGGAACATCGCCCTGTGGCAAGTTAGCAAAGGCGTGTGCAGCGCATGGTACGACATACTCCGACTTGACAGTTTAAGGCGCCATTGCAGTCTCCGGTTGCACAAGCCTTCCCCCGCCCCGAAGCTGCGGACGAGCCATCGTCGCTAAAGGAACAATTTGTCCTCCCCCACACGCGGCCCTGCCAGTCTTCCGACACGGTCTGGTTTTTTGTCTCTCCAGGCTTTAACTGGAAGCCGTTCTCGCCTGGGCCCGTGCCGGATTGGGTCGAGATTCCCGGCCAGATATTGTCGGGACAACGGTTGGTTACCAGGAGAGGCGTAATATCCAGTTTTCGTCGATTGGTTTTAAGAGGCGCTTTTAACGCCATGTGATGCAGGCCCTCGGCAAGCGGCAGCGCGCCCAGCAGGAAAAATGCAGAACATAGTCGAGCGATAGAAATGGAAACTATAGGCTGGCTACGGGCCTTTCCGAGGTGAGTCATCTGAGACATGGTGAGCCGTGACTGCGCGCGTCGATTGCGCAATCACAGTGAAAGTGTACGTGGTAAGGCAAGGTTGTGTATAGATTTCAAGGGCCCAGGCGGACGGGAGGATGTTGCGGGAGGACAGAGGCGAGGCGAGGCGAGGAGGAGGTTGGACGGGTTATGGTTATGAAAGCAAGGCTGTGGCTGTGGCTGTGGGGAGGAGACGGAGACGGGGCGCCATGCTTCTGCATGGTGTCGGCTTGGCTGATGCTGGCGGCACAAGAGAAGTTGCGACTTCTGACTTGATAACGGCGGTCGGTGACGCCATAGGGCGTGCCTGCATCCATGGCGATGCTGCCCTGGCTGCAGCCGACCAGGGCCCACCAAGGCCGAGCAGCCCGCCACGGCCTATCGTGCATGTCCACGCGAGCTTGTTTCAAACGGCCGCAGTCGACGAGTCAATGCCGGTGCATGCTCGCGTCCAGGTGTACTACACGGTAGACGGCGGTCGTGGCCGTGCCATTGGCCTGAGGCTTATCGTAGGCCTGGCAGCTATGTCAGCGGCTGTACTGTAGGTGCAGGTGCAGGGGCTGGTCTTGGACTCCACGTGATCTCAGGGCCGCCCAAGCGTCGGCCTTGGACAATACTTAGAAAACAGACAACCACAACGCACAACCGACCTTGGACAAGACAATGAATTCCCTACGCTTCCTCTACTTGGCTGGCCATGGGCGTGTACGGCGATTGGGGCGGACGTGAATTCGTGCGAGAGGACGGGCAACATTCTCTCCGACACGCCAGCCCATTCCACATGTAGTAGTAATTCAGCTTCTCTTGGGCCAATCGAAATAGTAGAAAAAAGCGCAGGCCGTGCAAACCCACAAATCACCTCTTTCTGTGCGCTGGGAGATTGCTTCTCCTTTTCCGCACCGCACATTTCGTCGTGGTACGTCTGAGGCGGCAGGGCAAAGAGCCGGTTGGTCTCGCCACTGTTAGCTGCGGGTGGTGAGATCTGCGACCCATCCACATCTCTTGGCTCTCCTGACAATTGCAATTCCATCCTACTCACTGCACGGGTACTTTACTCTTTGCCCAGGCTGCACCTTGCCTTTTCTCTCTGCCCAGTTGCCCACCCGATACACTCCTTCTCTGTATACGCACACATACACCGATTCCATTCGTGTCTGCCGAGCCCCTGCGGACCCTGGATACGACCTTGGCCGACACCGCCTGTCCCCCGAGTACACATCGCCACACACTTTCGTCCGCCACCCCCCCATCGCCCCTCCGCGCACTACCAGCGCTGCCGTAGCCTGAAGAGCAGAGCAAATGTCCTCGACCACCACGATGCCTGGCCGTACCCTTCCGACCATTCCGACTGCAGAGGTGCGCGCGCACAACACGGAAAAGTCGTGCTATGTCACCATTGGCACAAAAGTATACGATGTTACCGACTTCCTCGACGGCCACCCCGGTGGTCCCGAGTTCATTCTGGAATATGCAGGCAAGGATGTCGAGGCTGTTTTGAAGGACGAGATTTCGCACGCACACTCCGACTCCGCATACGAGATTCTCGAGGAGAACCTCGTGGGCTTTATGGCTACGGAGCCGGTTATAAACGGCGCTGTCAAAAGCTCCAAGCCCGGCGACATCGTCCCCTTGCCTCCTTCGCAGGCTGGCACCGCAGAGCTGAAGAGCATGACGCAGAACGGCAAGCCACTCTATGCCGCCACTGGCATGTCTTCCGAGGAAGACCTGTCGCGAGAGACGGACCCGAACCAGGACTACAAGGAGCACAAGTTTTTGGACCTGAACAGGCCGCTTCTGATGCAGGTCTGGAATGGCGGGTTTAGCAAGAACTTTTACCTCGAGCAAGTCCATCGCCCGCGACACTACAAGGGCGGTGATTCTGCCCCGCTGTTTGGCAACTTCCTGGAGCCCTTGAGCAAGACCCCCTGGTGGGTTGTGCCTACGATATGGTGGCCCTGCGTCGCATACGGAACGACGGTAGCCTTTGGCGGCCTGCAATCCGTGCCCGCGCTGGCTGGTTACTGGACCTTTGGCCTGTGTTTCTGGACCATTGTAGAGTACGTTCTGCATAGAGGTCTATTCCATCTGGACGAGTAAGTCTCATTATTCGCGACACACTTGTAAGTATGCTAACAAGAAGCAGCCACCTGCCAGACAACCGTGCCGCACTTACCCTCCACTTCCTGCTTCACGGCATCCACCACTATCTCCCCATGGACAGGTATCGCCTCGTCATGCCACCAACGCTATTTGTCGTTCTCGCGGCACCATTCTGGAAGTTTGCTCATTTTGTCATCTTCTGGAACTGGCATGGTGCCCTGGCTACCTACTGCGGTGGCATTTTTGGATACACGTGCTATGACATGACGCATTACTTCCTCCACCATCAAAAGTATGTGTATTTGTACCCGATGCAAGCATTCCGCTAACATGAACAAGGCTGCCTCCGTACTACCAGCAACTCAAAAAGTACCATCTCAAGCACCATTTTGCCGACTACCAGAATGGCTTCGGTGTGACGAGCCGCTTCTGGGACTGGGTCTTCGGCACCGAGCTCGAGATGGGACCTGCCAAGGTTATCAAGACGACTTGATTAGTGGCATTGCACGATTGGCGGCTGCCACTTTATGAAAGGCATTGGGAGGCGTTGCATCTGTTTCCTTCTCATGTCTACGCATTCTTCTATGCATGTTCTTGCACGAAACTCTTTTTACATAATAGTAATTTCCAATCAAGTTCGCATCTTGTGTCCACGCCCTCTGTCTGCGCGTTTGCTGACTACCCCCGGCTGATCTGCAGCAAATCCTACAAAGCACGGCATACGCCGTATGCTTAGTCACGGTGAGCGTTTGCCAAGACCCCTCCAACTTTTCTGGTTGCCTCGATGAGGCCAGCCTCCCTCCAGTTCTCCACCTCACACTTCACCCACCACAATCTGAGCGCAACAACAACGCTTCAATCAAGCACACTCTTATCGAGTGCAGTTCACAACGAGCAGCCAGGAAGTCATACGGCGGTCGTAGTGACAGTTGTTTACGCGCCCACTCGCTATCCTAATTGAATCCACTATCTGAGCCAAGGCTCGCCTCTATCTCTCTCCAACACCATCGCATCTTGCAGTGACCAAGCTCATCACTTCCGACCGACCACACTTATCGAGAGCTAGGCACCACCGACGACATGTCTACTTCAGCCGCTGTCGATGCGCTCCTCGAGGAGACGGCGCGCGAGGTCGAGATGAAGGACCGCGAGCGCCACGCTAGCAGCGAGGCCCGCGACATGGACAGCCGCCGTGACGACCGCGACCGCCACTCAGACCGACGCGACCGCCGTGATAGGAGCAGAGACCGGGGTGACCGCTATCGTGAGTCCAATGGAGACCGGCGCCGGAGCCGAGACAGAGACCATCGACGGAGAGATGGAAGCCGCCCTCGATCGAGCAAAGGTGCTGACACAGATGAAGACCGAGATAGGCATCGTCGTAGCAGCTCACGCGACCGACGTGGAGGCCGCGGCCGTGACCGTGGAGGCGACTTTTACAGCGGAGGTGGACGACCTCGCACCCGTTCCCCTCGTCGTGAACGTGCCGATGACAGGTACCGTGATAGGTCCCGCGACCGCCGCCGCAACGGTGGCGACGAGCGCCGCAATAGCCGCCGTAACAATACGCCGCCCGAGCCTGAGATTACTGAAGACGACCGCGACAAGCGCACCATCTTTGTCCAGCAGATTTCCCAGCGCGCCGAGACACGCCACCTGCGTACGTTTTTCGAGCGAGTCGGCCCTGTTGTCGAGGCACAGATTGTCAAGGATCGAGTCACTGGCCGTTCCAAAGGGTTGGTACCTCGCCGCCCTCAGTGTGAGACATTCGCTAACAGTTGCAGTGTCGGCTATGTTGAGTTCAAGGATGAAGAGTCTGTACCCCAAGCACTGGAGCTGACTGGTCAGAAACTAAAGGGTGTTCCCATCATCGCCCAGCTTACTGAAGCCGAGAAAAACCGTGCCGCCCGTCCGTCGGAGGGCGGTGCTGCGCCTGGTGCTAACGGTGCCCCGTTCCATCGTCTTTACGTTGGCAACATTCATTTTAGTGTCACTGAGAAGGATCTCCAGGAGATCTTTGAGCCCTTCGGTGAGCTTGAGCAGGTCATCCTCCAGCGCGACGAGATGAACCCTGGCCGATCCAAGGGATATGGTTTCGTTCAGTAAGTGGGCTGCTGCATTGCTTCGCTGGCACGACAAGACGGCTAACATGTAATTAGGTTTGTTGATCCTTCGCACGCTAAGAATGCTCTCGCAGAGATGAACGGTTTCGAGCTTGCCGGCCGCCAGATCCGCGTTGGCCTTGGCAACGACAAGTTCACCCCCGAATCGACCGCCAACCTTCTCCGTACCTTTTCTCAGCAGGCACAGACCTACCAAGGCTCTGCTTTCAGTGGAGCCGGTGGTCGTGGCGCTTATGCAGGTGGCAGTGGTGGCGTTTTTGACCGTACGCACAGCAAGGATGACCGCGGTGTCAGCGGCGCTTCTGCCCTGGATGACACCGATGTGGCGGGCGTCAACTTCAAGACTTACGATCGTAGCAAACTCATGGACGCTCTCGCCCGCCGCGACAACCCAGAGCCCGCCAAGCAGGGTGCCCAACCCGTCATTAGCAAGCCGCGCGCTCCGGTCGTTGACAAGCCTATGGCATCGAAGTGCATCAAGATCGAGAATGCTTTTGACGCTGACGAGTAGGTTCCTTGTGTCTTTGTTTCTGACACTGCTAACAACGTAATAGGGAGCAGCGTAACTACGGCAACAACTGGGTCAAAGATCTTGAGGTCGAAGTCAAGGCTGAGTGCGACAAAAAGTATGGCAAGGTCGTCCATATTGCTGTCGACACCAACAGTGACGGCGACATCTTTGTCAAGTTTGACTCTGTCTCTGGTGGCGAAAAGGCTCTCCAGGGACTGAACGGTCGCAACTTCAACCACCGCACCATTCGCGCTTCGTACGTTGTCGACAAGATCTACAACTCCCTTTGGGGCGCTGCTGCCAGCAGGTTCTAAAGATTGGTATGTAACATGAACAGCGAGGGGTGTTCGGTATCCACCATCTACCGAGTGCCCTGGTTACTTATGTGTACAGCACGCGATTAGCGTCATTTGTGGGCTTCTTCATGGCTCTTTGTTGTAGTCTATACTCGGTTTACACTTCCGGTACATTCTGGTACGCATGCTTGGCGTTGATGGAATGAATACGGACTTTGCTTTTCTTTCTTTTTGGGTACTGGTCGTTTGGCCATACCGATGGGCAGGACAAGCGTGCGGCGATTTTGTCAGCTTTGGAAGCTGCATGACAGACGAAGGATGATTATTCGGGGGGTTGGGCGACGCAAATTTGTTTCAAGTGGAGGATAGACTGGTTTTGCCAAGGCGAGCGATAAACTCACGGGTTGCTGGTGGCTGCACCTGCATGGCAGCAGAAGGCAGCGGTGGAAAAGTTTTTCTTCTCGGTACGTCAGTGAGGAAACCTGACCTTGCTCAGATATTACTATGGTCTACTAGGCGCCTCACGGACGGCCGCGCTTACTAGTGTTGCGATTGCGATACAAACGAGGAGGTGGAGGACCCATGGCTGCTAATAGCACATAGGACCAGCTTGTCTCTTCCTTTCTCTGGATGACTTGCCTACCAATAATCATATCTTTAGATACTTTTGGGTGCTCCTTGTCGTGGTCTTGTATGGAAAACACCAAAATGACGGAGCTCGACCGCGGTTTGACCCTCTCTGCCGCTTTTGGCTTGCCTAACGTTTTGGCAGATATCAATCGCCCATGAAGTAGTAGCAGATGCCTGTTAGGGTACTTGACAAGTGATTCTCATGCTGTCTAGTAGGACCACATGGTAGTATCACTCACAGATATGCTAATCATTTCACTCTTCACAGTCTATATATGTTTGTACGTCAAAGTCCGTGTAGATCTAGGGACCGCAACTGCACCTTGCGTGCATCCTCTCTTGGGCTATACTGAAGACTTGCTATCAGCATATGGCGTTTGAATATCGACCGCATCTATACTATGCGTCCATTTCCTGAGCAAGACATGGCACTATGCTAGGCAAATCCCTGTATACCACCGTATCGTGACGTAAGCTCCTGTTTGTAGAAGACGTAGCACTGTTCCAGTCTTTCCTCTGCGGTAGGTCCAGTGAAATAGGTAGTCGTAGTATTATTCAACTCTTTAATGCAACTATCTGTGGAACATTTGGTGGATTTGCTCATTGTGAAGCATTCCAGTCAGACAATGCACAAAAACGGGTCTGATCGCCTTCTCGCCAAAAGTCACCCCCCGCGTGCACGTCCTCGCGAAAAACTTCCCCACTAGAAAGTTGGTAGCTCAAAGCTCCGACTTGCCTCCAAGTCGCGACCTTCTCTCAACACGCACGACTTGCTCTTTTTTGTGCACGACAATGTCAAATCCCCCAGAAGACGCCGCGCGACCCGCAAAACGTGCGCGACTTGACGATGACAGCGCTCCTGCCTTCTCCCCAAGCACAAGCACAGGCACACCAGCAGCTGCCGAAAAGCCCATTTCCACAGCGACTGCAGCAATTGACGCCGACCTCGAGCGCGAAGTGCGTGCTGGAATAACCGAATATGTGTGCCCAGATAACCTTGGCTTCACGGGTGTGTTGAAGCAACGATACACCGACTTCTTGGTCAACGAGATTGGACTCGATGGGCGGGTACTGCACCTGACAAGTACGGAGGTGGAGACAAAAAAGAACCAGAAACCTGTAGAGAGTGTGAATGCGACCAGAATTTTAGAGGAAGCAAATTCTGTCGAGACAAGCGCAAAAGATGACAAGGCCGATGCGGTCATGCAGGATGGGGGAGTTGATGAGGTTACACTGCCTGTACCAGCGCCAGTACCTGCAGAAGCCAAGGAGACTGAAATCAATGGCGAGGAAATTCTGTGCCAAGTAAAGGCGACTAAACAGGAGCCAGGAGAAGCCGTAAGTACTGAAAACAGGCTACGAGGCGAATACTAAACCAGTGCAGCTTGCAGACGCAGATCGTGAAACACTACATTCGATATTTGGTCGCGAGACTACAGATGCCATTGTCAAACTTGTACAACAAATACGGAAGAGCGAATCGAAAAAGGCAAAAGACTTCAAGGCGGTCATATCGCCCCCCATCACAGACAAAGAAATGCGCACCCAAGCCCACCAAAGCCTGCGGCGCATGTTCCCAAACTTGCTGGAGAGCGCAATGGAGAATGACCAGACGATTCGCATCAAAGCAGCACCTCCGGCACAGCGCAAGAACAAAAAGGCCAAGAGTAGCGGTAGAGACCGAGAGGACCAGGGAAGACGGAGAGGTGGATTGGACTGGGAGGAGCTAGGCGGCGAATACCTGCACTTCAATCTATACAAGGAGAACAAGGATACCATGGAGGTTGTAGGCTTCCTCGGCAGCAAGCTCAACTGCGGCGCAAGAGGCTTTGGGTTTGCTGGCACAAAGGACAGGCGAGCTTGTACCGTGCAGAGAGTGTGCGTTAAGCGCCAGACTGCGCAGCGTATACAGAGCTTCAACAAGGTGCTGTTCAATGCTGCGGTGGGTGACTTTGAACATTCGCATCATGAGCTTAAACTCGGAGATTTGGTGGGCAACGAGTTCACAATCACGCTACGAGATTGCCATTTCCAGAGCGAACAAAGCCTTGACTTTGAGCAACGCCTAAAGCTCGCCAACGACGTGGTTGGCAAGGCAATCACCGACTTTTCCGAGAGAGGCTTCATCAACTACTACGGTCTCCAGCGGTTTGGGTCTTTCGCCGCCAGCACTGACGCCATTGGCCGCAAGATGCTGCAAGACGACCTCAAAGGCGCAGTCGAAGACCTCCTGGCATACAGCGATGTGGCCCTCGCGGCCGCCGACGGGACCTCGACAGACCCCAGCATCCAAGTCTCGCAAGACGACCGCAACCGCGCCAAAGCCCTGCACATCTGGAAGACAAAAGGCAGTGGCAGCGAAGCCCTCGACCTACTCCCACGCAAGTTCACCGCCGAACGCAACATCATCCAGCACCTCAGCTCGCGCAACAGCAAAACCGGGCGCCACGACCGCAAAACAGACTGGCAAGGCGCACTCATGACAATCCCGCGCACCCTTCGCCTCATGTACGTCCACGCCTACCAATCGCTCGTCTGGAACACCGTCGCGGGCAAGCGCTGGGCAACCTACGGCGCGCAAGTCGTCGAAGGCGATCTCGTCCTCGTCCACGAACACCGCGACAAAGAAACCAGCAGCACCACATGCGCCCCCGCAGACTCCACCCTCGACCAAGACGGCGAAACAATCATCAACCCGCTCGGCAGCGAAAACGCACACGCCTCATCCGCCGCAAACTTTGAGCGCGCCCGCGCCCTGTCCGCAGAAGAAGCCGCATCCGGCGCCTACACAATCTGGGACATAGTCCTGCCCCAGCCAGGCTTCGACGTCGAGTACCCACGCAACACTATCGGCGCCTTCTACGAGTCCTTCATGGCAAGCGAGACAGGCGGCGGCCTGGATCCCCACAATATGCGCCGCTCGTGGCGCGAAATCTCGCTCAGTGGCGGATACAGAAAGGTGCTTGCTCGCCCGCTGCAGCCAGTCACGTATCAAGTGCACGGATACGAGCGTGTGGACAAACAATTCGTAGAAACGGATTTGCAGCGCCTGAGACATGCTGCTGCTGCTGCTGCTGCTGCGAAGGATAATAATAATAATAATAATAATAACCACACCGAAGATATGGGCAATGACAACAACAACAACAACGACGACGACGACGACGACGATACTCAAGGTGTAGCCGAAAAGAAAATCGCAATAGTACTCTCGTTGCAGCTCGCTAGCAGCCAGTATGCTACCATGGCGCTGCGCGAGCTGATGAAGGCCGGTGGTGTAAAGGCGTTTAAGCCTGAGTTTATGGGTGGACGGTAAGCATGTATACATGGGTTTTATACACGGATGGATTGTTATGGGTACATGGTATGTATGTATGTATGTATGTATGTATGTATGTAGCATGAGGGATTGGGGGGTATGTAAATGGCACTGCGAAATGTGGATATGAGACTGAGAAAAGATGAGGTTTATCTGACAAAGATTCCTTGATACATGCATATCCACCTTATGGTATATGTAGATTCTTTCTTTCTTTCTTTCTTTCTTTCTTTCTTTCTTTCTCTCTCTCTCTGTGTGTGTGTGTGTTTGTCTCTTCCATTTAAATGCCTCCCACGGATACACACGCAGCAGCCATGCATCCATGCATATATGTACAAATTCATCATGGTCATCATCATCGTCGCCACTAGCCAACTAACTAGCTAACTAACCCATCAACCAACCAGTCATCCAGCACACGTCCACTCTAATTCTCCAAACCCTTCTCCCCCTTAGCACACCACACCCCGCTCCGCTCAAAGCCGGCCACCACTACACCCGCCATTCATGCAATATACCCATCCAATCCAATCTCCAGCATTCCCACGACTTGTACCTCGATCATCTCGTCTCCAGCCATCATCGACACCGCCCCGTCCCATCCTGTCCCGAACCAATTCCAATTCATCCATCAATCACACTAAAACAAGACAAGACTAGAAAAGCAAAAAGACAAAGACAAAGAAACATTTGCATCCATCATCTCATAAATCCGCGTAAAAAACAGTGAGGGCAAAATAGAAGGAAGGGGGGTGGGGGGAAGCGGAAAGGCAAGCACACAAACCAATCCCGATGAGACATTATTCGGGAGGAACCCCATAGCTTGGCGGGGGGCGTAGAAAGAAGATTTGAAAAAAAAAACAGTTGGTTGACGACAAGAAAAGGGGAAACAAAATCTACCGCGAAGCGGGGCAAGTCTGGAAGCCAGCAGACAATAGCGGCAGCGGCGGCGCAGGTGTTGTTGACGGTGTGGTGTATATGGGGCGTTTATTTATATTGAACATGTCGTTTTTTTGTATGTAGATTGCGATTCCGTGAAATGTATAGCGTATTGCTGTATTCGTTAATGTTATTTTTGTTGTAGTGTAAAGCCGGCGAGAAAACAAGGTGTGTGAGAAAAGGTTGAGCAAGAGGCAAGGGCCGTGACGTGAGTGCTGAATGGTAGGAGCTGGAGTACCCTGGTATGATGAGAAATAGGGTGGTATGCGAACCACCACACCATGTTTCTCGCAAGACTAACCAGGGCTCAACTCCTAAACATGGACTTGTGAGTAAGCGGCGACTCCAGCAGCACGGGCGGTCCTCTTAATCTTCCACCTCTCGCAAGTGGCGTCTGCCCTGTGCAAAAAACGCACACGTAGACGGGCGGCATGCTGCTCTTATTCAGACCAACACATACAATGTGCAGCCACATGTTGCAGGATTCGCACTGCACCATGGGCCTATCTTCGTCGTCGACAAGGCCATTACAAACACAGCGCGTGCTTTCGCTCGAAAAGTTGCTGCGGTCGGTCGACGGCGTCGTAGTTACAGAGCGGCTCAGGGAATTGGAAAAAGAATCGTAGTTGCCATGACCGTGGGGAGTGGTAGCAGAGAACTCGGCCGAAGCAGCAGCCCAGCGTTGGTTGTGAGCCTTGAGCGTGTTTTGTGAAGCACGTTCTGAGGGAGTTAGCACAGTAGGAGACTAGCTTGCAGCCACCGTACCAATACGTTGTTGCCGTGCACCGACCACCTTTTTCAAGGCTCCCAGGGCATCCCCAGGAGAGTCAGGCATGTGCTGATCTTCGATGTCTCTGGTATTCTTGGCCAAAGTGGGATGGTCCATTGCGCTAACTCGCCGAGTGGTGTTATCGCTAGCTGATCTTCCCATGAGCCGCAGCTTCTCAGACGACGCCTTGTCGAAGGAGGCCAAGCCTGGGCGTGACGAGGATCGCGTCATCTTGAAAGAGTTGTTTCCTTCAAGGGGTTCGCTCTCCACCCGAGCATATTTCGATGCTCGGCGTTCAGGTTGCGGCACAGTGAAGGATGTTTTGCGACTGATGGCAACTGCCGGTTCATCTTCTTCCGACTCACTGTCGCCCGCCTCGTACAAACCAGGATACTGCCGGCGGAGATCCTGCTGCGAAGACTGGCGCAAAGCCTTTGGAGTCTTGTCCTCGTCCTCGGCATGTATAGTCTCTGTACGCGCACGGCCGGTCTCGTCGATGATCAGACGTGTCCGCGGTCGTCGTATCTCTGGAATAGATTTAAGCGAGCCATTGCCCTGGCGCTTGAGCGGTGATGGGCGCCGTGGTATGCTCGAGGTATTACCTGGAACGGCGGACCGAGGGTCCATGGGAGGCACTCTGGACATCCTTACTCCACTATCGGTGTTACTCCGATGAAGTGGGGGCTTCACTTCTTCGACCGAGCCAGCGGAGGAATTTGTATTGCTGCGAGAATGCTGGCTCCTTGCCTTTTTCGCCATTTCTCTCTCAGCCTGCGCATCGCGCAACTGCGTCTCGTACGGCTGTCTTAAGCTCATGTCCACGTTGGAGAGTTGAGGCATCGCACCAAAAGAAGCAGTCATGTCGGGATTAGAGAAGCTAAACAGCATGCTGGGGTCAACACCAGTAGTAGACGCAAATGAACCGGGCCTTGAGATTTGGCCGTGCTCCATGTGGCAGTTGGCAAATGACATGGGCCCAGGTGAGGCTTGGAAACTGTGGAAGCCCGGAGTCTGCATCAAGTTAGTGACAGCAGAGGGATGTATGCCGTGCCAGTTGATGCTTTGATCCATTCTCTGTGGCGTAGGGGCGAATGTATCTATGCCCATGGGGAAATCAAGATCCATTTGCATGCCCTCGTTGGCCGGGTCCCAGAACAGGCGTGACTGCGGCATGGGGGGCGCCGACATGGGGGCATGGCCGGGCATGTGCATCATGTCTGGCGTGTAGTGCAAACTGCCGAGGCCAAAGGGCGTCTGGTCAAAGAGAGCCTCGGACGGGGGCACCTGGTTGGGCGTCCGATGTATCACAGTAGCTGGCGTGGCGGCTCCCTCGCCCGCGTTTTGTTGTCGTACCCTTCGAGACGAGTCATCCCTTGTTGGGGGCGGTGTTTGCATGTGCGAAAAGTCCATGCTGACGGGCCGCGATACTGCAAGATGGGGCTGCTGCGAGGCAACGACGCCGGCTTGGCTCAGCTGGTTGGGGTCGGGCGACGAGGCCAGTCGGCGTGAGACGTCGACCGGCGGCAGAGGCAGATTCTGAGGAGCAAAGTGGTTGACATGGAATTCGGGATCTTCGGGAGTGCGAGAAGGTTGGCTGTACGAGCTCAAGGGCCGATCTATGGGCGTTGACAAGGCGAACAGGGGCGTTTGGACAGGGGTGTGCTGGGCATTGGGCAGTGGGGTTGCCCAGGCGTCGAGGAAATGCGAATGGGCGAACGTGTCCGTCTTTGGGGTCTTGAGGCTTGCGTCGGCAAACGTCAGCGACTTTGGCGTCGAGGATGGGCTTGGTAGAGGCCAGTCGGTCGATCTAGCAGGTGACCCACGTTAGCCTTGGGCGCATGCAGGTGCGAGCCGATACATGACAGAGGGACAAGGAAAAAAAAACAAGAAACGATTGGGTGCAGGCAGCCAGAAAACGAGGTGTGCAGGAATTGAACAGCGGGCTTCTTTTTGTAGGGAATTGGCGAGTGAGTGAGTTGCACGGTTGGGCGAGGGAGTGTGAGAGAGAGGTAGAGCCTAGAGCCGGTGGGCAACGAGCTTCAGATGGCAACCGTGCGGTGTTGCCTGCTGCCCCTCTGCCTACCCCAAACCCGCATTGGGACTGAGTCGTATCAGACTCCGACCTTTTAGGCCCGGCAGAGACATTCTAGACGCCCGCCTGTTGTTCACCGTGAAGCTGCATGCACCGGCCCCGGCAGCACAAGCTGCTGCGTCCCCCCTCGCCGCCAGGGCTCGACCAGAGAGACTGCTAGGAAAACGGGGTTGCAAGGGGAGCCCTACGCATACGTATGCTGATCCAGACTCATAGCCAGCCCGGTAACACGGCGTTGGCGGCCTACCGACCATGTAGCGAGCAATATACGACAGCAGCAGCAGCGGCGGCGGCAGCGGCGGCGGCAGCGGCGGCGGCAGCGGACTCGAGCGAGGCGTTGGGGCGGGCGATGGGGCGGTGAAGAGGGTGCGTGTTCTGGCTGAGAGGCCTGGGGGGGGGCTATGTGAGCGAGGGATAGGAGATGGCCGTGTTGGTGTGAGACGTCGACGGCGCCGGCACGTATGTATGTAGGCTGCTGTGTAGGGCGGGTGTTGCTCTGCAGGTCAAGAATAAAACGGTGAAAGGTTTCTTCACGTACTAGGCAGCGCAGTGGGGCCGGGGCATCTGAAGCTACAAAGGTAAAAAAGACTGTCGTTCGGCAAAGACTGAATAATTGAAAGCACCGATCGTGGCCCGCAGCAGCAGCGGCAGCGGCAGCGGCAACAGCAGCGAGCAGCGAGCAGCGAGCAGCACCTGCGGCTATACGGCGCTGGGGGAGGAAACGTGAACAGGGCGTGTTGCTCTCCTGAGACGTAGGAGCCCGTCTAGTTCAGGTACCGAGCCGCATGGCCCGTTCAAGGCGACATGGCGAGGCTGTCATTATTGGGTGGTAACGGCAGGGAGGGAGGCATGAAGATGGTCTGCGTCGTCGCCGCGCAGCCAGCCAAAGCCTCAGCCCGGCCGGCGCAGCTAGTGGCGAATAAGGCCAGGAATGCTCACGTATCTATGTAACAATGAGCTAAGTCATGGACCGGCGCGGGACAAGGAGCACCATTCCATGGCTTGCGAGGGGGGAAGTGCATGTGTGCGTGATGGGTAGACATGACAGGCCGGGCGCTGGAGTCTTTGGCTAAGCACCCGATGCGCTAACTCGACTCTTTCTTGGGGCCCGCCAGCCACTCACGCACCCATTCACTCTCGCCCGCCTCGCTCGCCCGCCACGAGAACCAGATCCTGTATTCGGTGCCTGTTCAAGCTGCCACCTCCCGGCCATCGCCCAAGTTCATGCACTCCTGAATCCTCCTGTACCAATGGTGGGGGTGAGGGCCCTCGGCGCTAGACGCAATAAGCAATTACTGTAACAACAGCCAGAGACCGAGAAAGGCAAAAAGGAAAAAATGCCCCCCCTTGCTCGCTGCCAGCTGGCCGCCAGCCCTCGCCTGCCTCGCATCGCCTCGCATCGCGTATCAGCAAGCACCGACGCTCCGCCAAGTTGACTGGATTAATCTAGCCGTCATCATGCAAAATCCCATGAACCGGGAAATTCTCTGGATAATAGCCGCTTGCCCAATCTATCCAAGTGCTTTGGCGTAGTGTTTGATCTCGGCCCCTCCCCCTACATGACTGTACATTGTACATAGCCTCGACACTGGGCGGGTGCGAGCATCCATTCCGTCCTGGCCCTCATGTTTCTAGGACCGAAGGAAGAAAGAAAAAAAGCATTGGCAGTATGCGCATGGGTTGTTGCTGGCAGCGCGAGAACAGCACATGAATGGTTGAATCTCAACACATGTCCCTAGGCGGCTTCGCATGCGAGCTGATCTTGCGCGAATCATCGGGACCGTTGGATGCTAGCGCCCACCCATGTATGCAAGGTACCGATGCGCTGTGCTCTGTCGACTTCCCCGTGGGTGGGTGTGAACCAAGGACACTACATCTACCGAATAGTGGCACATGTGGATGGGCCTCGTGAGGGTTGCAGCCACGGCCGTCCCAAGCACTGGCACGGCCAACACCCCTCGAGACACCAGCACCAGTGCAGTCGTCTGCTCGGCAGCCAAGCAGCCCATTTGATTGGCCTCCACACATGTTCCCCTCTACACTTTGCATCCCCAGACAAAACTACGTAGATATACGTCATTATATGTGGATTCGTCATAGGCGCTGCTATATATACATTGGTATATGTAATGGCGCGCCTGGATGCTTGCGTAGGCACGTGATCATCTCCTCCAGGACCGAAACCGGCAACGCCAAACAGCATACTCGAAGAAACCAGACGACGAGACAAACGCGAAAAAATGCCCTGAACCATGAATATATGTACAAAGAAAAGCATCCACACAGAATCATCGCCAAGACTGTCGGCCGGTAAAGCGCTCGCGTTGGAAGGAAAGTTCCGACAAGATAGACACGCCATCGTCGGGATCATCAAACGGTGACCGCTCTGCCCCATGCGGACACACCGGGCTGACGGGCACTCGCACGCTGCTCGGTCTTGAATTGGTTGTGAAGCTCGGCGGAGCTACGCTGCTGGGTCGATACGGCGGCGGTGGCTCCGAGAGGCTGTGGTTGTCTGCGAATGGATCGACAAGTGTCTGCGGCCCCGAGTTGATCGGCACCATGTCTGAAGTGTCTATTCCAGTGAGATAGGCACCGTTGGACGATGGATTGATGGGTCCTAATATGATGGGTTGGAATTGACTCGGAGTAGACGTCGGTGGAAGATGGTCTGGCGGCGCAGTATAGTGCCGTGACACAGATACTGCTGGCGGTGGTGGTGATAGCGGCGGCGAGGGCGGTTGTGCTATATGAGCTTGTACGGTGACCTCGTCCATGTCCTTCTTCATTTCCTGGGTAGCAGCTTGTGCAGCAGCCTCTGCAGCCTTGCGCCTCTTGCGCCTGCGCAGGCACACTAACGCAACAGCTGCAATGATGGCAAGGAGAACGATGGGAACCACAGTGGCTATTGCGTATATCGGCGCATGATTGGTGCCCTTGTTGGCCCAACCCCAGTCAGAAGGCCGACCTTTGTGTGGAATGACTGGAGAAGGCGATGCTGCTCTCGTGCCTGTTGCCGTAAAGCCATCAGCTGTCGACGCAGGGGCCGTGTTCTGCGTCTCGGGATACGGTGTTTGTAGAAAAACAGCTGTTGTTGATACCGACGTCTCCCAACTGTCTGTCGCCGGAGTGGGGGCTCCGAGTGAATATGGTGGCCAGGGTAGAGTAGAAGGATAGCCATCGGGCCGTGTGCTGGGCCGGTATCTTGTCCGCGTACTGTCGCTCGGTGGCTGCGTTGGAGAGGCCATGGAGGCAGTATCGATTGGCACCGTGACCTGGGGCAGCGGAGGAAGCGGATCTGGAATTACCGTGGTGACAATGGTTGGCACAATAGCATCTTCAGTGATCCATAATGGCAGGTCCCACTCTTCCTTTTTCCAGTCGTCTGGCGGAGGGGGCATTGCGGCTGGGGCGATGCGCTGACGAAGCAGCGCGCTGCAGATGAATGGGCCGCAGCTGGATGGCAGCTATCAATACCAGTCAGGTGGCAGCAATGCGACAAGATGCCTGAGCGCTCAGGACAGCCGCAGTGGACGCTGGGCTATGGTGGTGGTGATTGTCCGCCTGCTGGCCAGTAGCAGGAGATGCGGGGCCGAGCGGGATTTTAGGGCTGACCTCTGTTGCGCGAGTCGATGACGCGAGATAATAACACAACAGCCGTAATCCGATACCGCCCAGGCGTGGGAAAAACGAGCGAGAATTTGCAGCCGGTCGATGCCGAGGACACGTCGAAGAATCAGAGGCGAGGTGAAGTGGAAGGAGAGGCACGCTGAACACGGGCGGGCAAACTGAGGCGCAAGCATGCCACTGTTTATCTGGCCATGTGTGGGCTGCTGCAGGCTGGCAAGCCCACAGGCCCCAAGTCCGACGTGTTGGCAGCCCATCCGCCGGTTCTATTGGCCGCATGCTGGGCTGGCTGTGCAAGCCACGGCCCCAGCCTGCTGAGTTATAAGACGAACGACCCCACTTGCTCGGAGTCGTGGATATATTTTTGGCCTTGGCCGGCAGCCTAGCCGTCGATCCCCCGAAGCTTAGTCACGAGACCTATTCTCCGCCGCGACGTCGGATGCTGCGTGCTCTTCTCGTCCTGCCTGTGTCGCCCTCGCATCGTGTTTGTCGGCTGATGTGTCGCTCTCAGAGCAGAAGGCTCTCGTCAGCCTGGGGAACCAGAAAAAAAAGCAACGGCCGCGCATCAGCAATCAGCCTTTGCAGTTCATGCCGCCAAAGTTCCGCACGACGGGTGTGTGCGGAGATCCCTCTGTGGAGTGCCATGGTACCAGGCGTGATTGGCTGGCATGGGCCATCGACTCGTAGGTGGGTGTGGTGCGTACAGTAGCTGGTAGTACGGGACGGGTGGTAGCCGCATGTCTCGCCTTGTTGTTGCAGGCTGATTCGCTTTGGGCAATCAACGATGTCACCGGGAAAAAGCCCCTGGTGGTGCAGCCGTGGCCGTGGCCGCACGTTGGAGGGGGTTTTGCTGCGTCTGCAGGATCATTGTTTCTCCGGATGCGCTTCCCGTGTCTTTGCTGCAGGGATGCGAAACGGTATGGATGTGCGCGGCGAATCGATGGGCGGTTGTGGCTTTGGATTTCAAACGCACGTAGCAATGACACGTCCACGTCCACGTCCTTGTCATTGTCGATAGTCGGCTGCTCATCTGCGTCGTTGTGGTGAGGTTGGGCTCGGGCAAGGCCGGGGCGCCGGCCCAATGCGAGGGCCATGGTTGCTGGAGCAGCGCTTGGCTCAGGCTGATGATCTCATGGCCCCCGCGGACACCTCACCACGCCCAACTCGACACCTCCTCAGCCACCATGGACAAGTTCAAGAGTGTGGCTAAGAACGGCTGGCACCCAGAGAAGGACAAGACGGATAGCGGCAGCAGTGGCGGCGGCGGACAGAGCGATTCCAAGTTTGGACAAGTGGTATGCCCGCGCCATAGTGGCCCTACACCTACAGACACGTCTTTTTTCTAACGTGCTGGCGACAGAAAGGCTGGGTGGGCAAGGCCCAGGGCAAGGATGCGCACGCTGAAGCCGCCCGCCAGCACCAATCCACACCCTTGTCGACGCTGAAGGACCCGGCATCGTTTGCTCCGCCGCCAAAGCGACTGGATTACCATGGAGGCGCCTCAGCAGCGAGCGGGGCACGGCAGAGGATGCAGCAGCGAGAAGAGGAGCGGAGACAGGCAGAAGAGGAGGCCAGCAGGCCGCCCCCAGGGCCATACAGGCCCGACACGACCGGACTAAGCACCGCACATCTTCCGAAGCCCCCTGCCTTCCAGCAGCCAGGCACCGCTTCACCACAAGCTTCGGCCCCCGCGACGAAACCGAAGCCGAGTCTCCCTCCGCGCCTGCCTCCGCGCCAGACGTTATATCCGGACGAGTTTGCGCCCGCTCCGCCGCCCACGTACACTGAGGCTACGCAGCAGGCGGCGCCGGCCCAAGGGGTGCTGAACCCAGCTGCCCTGGGCCGTCTGGGACAGGCGGGCGTGTCGGTCGCAGGCCTGGGCATCGGTCGGACGGCCTCTCCTCCAGTGCCGCCCCGCGCGAACCCATCACCACCGGTACCACGACGCGCGAATCCCTCACCACCGGTTCCGCCCCGGCTGAACTCGAGCGCGAGCGTCGATACCCAGAATGCACCCTCACGCCACGCATCGCCCATGAACGAGCTGCAGAACCGGTTTGCGAAGATGACGGGGCCCAAGCCGGCGGCCGAGGCACCTGCGACGGGCACATCGTGGGCAGATAAGCAGGCAGCGCTGCGTACTGCGGGCAACCTGCGCAACGACCCGTCCAAGGTGTCGGCCTCGGACCTGAAGGGGGCGGCGTCGACGGCGAGCAACTTCCAGCAGCGGCACGGCGACCAGGTCGCGTCTGGGTGGAAGTCGGCCAATTCGCTCAACCAAAAGTACGGAATCGCAGGGAAGCTCAACAGTTTTGCGTCATCGTCAAGCGCCTCTCCTGCCCCTCCCTCACCAGGGCCGCCGGAGGCAGCTGGCAACCAGGCAGGAGGAGGAGGGCTGGGGAAGAGGGCGCCTCCACCGCCGCCGCCGAAAAAGAAGGGATTGAGCGAGGGAGCAGGCGAGCCGCCGCCGATTCCTCTGAGCAGCAAGCCCAAGTTCTAGGGTTTGTGTATGTAGCATGTATGTGCTGGGCTTGTTGTAGTCGACAGCGTCTGGCCCCGCTACACCTACTATGTACATGCAGCCATGTACACCTACTACCTACTCCATACAAGCGTCCCCCTCCCCCCCCGCATGCAGTAATCGGGCAGCCGTATTGGCAAAGGCCGCCTTGCCTGTTTGGGCGCAGCGCAGCGACTTTCTTTTGTTGGGCGGCTGGACCCTCTACGCGTTCTCGTGCATCCCTGCCAAAATTTTGCAGCCTCAATTTTTTTGCACGCCCGCCATGGAGCACCCGCGAGGCCAAACAGCGGCCATGGCCTCGCGGGGCAGCGTGTGTATATGCATGAGAGTTAATGTGTGTGTGTGTGAGAGAGAGAGAGAGAGAGAGAGACAGCGCGTGTGTGTTAGCCGTCAGAGCCGAATGACGTTAGACTTGCGAGTCTGGCCATGGCAAGGCAATGCCGTCGCCAGGCCCCAGGCACATGGAGCGGTTTTGTGTGTGCAGGGCAGGCCAAGGGCAGGCCAGGGCAGAGCGGTCCAGTGGGAAACTGGCGGTGGCTTGCCGAGGCACTGCATGGCGCTGTTATTCGTCCAAACCAACTGAGCAGCCGCTAAAATCCTCCCTCGAGTCCAGCACGCCCGCCCAGCTTGCCTTGCCTGCTTCTTCTAGCCTCGGGCCCGATGCATCATTACTAGATACGTGGTCGCTCCGCCTTCATCTGTGCACTGTCGCCGTCGCTGGCGTGCCAGTATATCTTGCCTGCAGTGCCCCGGGTTCGTGCGCTGAATCTCTCTCAATTGCGACTTCTCGGCTAACAGCATCAGCAACCTCCCGCTGCCCGCTGCTGCATCCTCACCACCACCACCGTCACCATCACCAAAACACCCCCAGCCATTGCATCACCCCGCTCGGGGCGCTGGCACTTGCACCGCCGCTGCCCACGCCCAAGGCGCTGAGAGCAGCCTCTGACGCCGCCGCCCAGCCGAATTCCTCGGCGTTGGCGTTTTCCGACCCGCACAAAACTTCGTGGTGGTCTGTGGACCCTTTGAACTACCTACGCCACTGCATAATCGCGCTCCGCCTGTTTTGACTGCCTTCCCTCACCACGCTCCCTCCCTCCTTCGTCCTCCACCCCCCGCCCTCCGTCCTGCCTCCCCCCCCCGCACACGCAACCACCATGTCTGGCGCAGGCCCTTCTCTGCACCCCGGCGACTGGCCCTCGAGGGCTGTCCTCCAGTTTCCTCCTGATGCCGCCCCCTCGCCCATTCCTCCGCCGTGGACGGGCGAGGCGACATTCGCCAACCCATTCCCCATCCCCGAGGACATCTACCAGGGCGCCCTCTCCTACAAGGTGCCCCTGACGATTGCCTCGGTCTACTTTGTCACCGTCACCTACATCAACTGGTACAACCGCCAGCATGGCAACAAGCCCTGGAAGATCGCCAAAACGCGTCCCTTCTTCGCCTTTGTCATCTTCCACAACGTCTTTCTCGCCGTCTACTCGGCCGTGACCTTTGTCGCCATGGTCCGCTGCATGAAGCGCTCCATGCCCCACTACACCGAGCCCAACGCCTTTGTCGGCACCATTGACGCCCTCTGCAAGATCCACGGTCCGCGTGGACTTGGCGATGCGGTTAGGTACAGCAACAACAACAACACGTGGAGCAGCCTGAACCAGAACGTGGCCCTGGGACCCGATGGCCTCCCCGACACGCTGGACGTTGGCCGCATCTGGAACGAGGGCCTGGCTTTCTGGGGCTGGTGGTTCTACCTCTCCAAGTTCTACGAAGTGCTCGACACGGCCATTATTCTCGCAAAGGGCAAGCGAAGCACCACGCTCCAAAAGTACCACCACGCCGGCGCCATGCTTTCCATGTGGGCCGGCATGCGCTACATGGCCCCGCCCATCTGGATGTTTGCTCTGGTCAACTCTGGCATCCACGCCATGATGGTAAGACTCTGCTTGTCCCTCAATTGGCGTCTGCTAACCCTTTCCAGTACACCTACTACACCCTCTCCGCCCTCGGAATCCGCGTCCCCAACGTCGTCAAGCGAACCCTCACCACGATGCAAATCACCCAGTTCCTTGTCGGCTCCGCCTTTGCTGCCATGCACCTCTTCATCTCCTACACTGTCCCCGTCTCGGTCGCATACAAGGTCGTTGAGAAGGTTATTCAGAAATCTGCAGCTGAGGCCGTCTCGTCTTCGGTCTCTTCTGCCGTCTCCTCGGCTACTGAGTCTGCTGCCGAAGCTCTGCCCGTCGCAACCGGTGTTGCTGTCGCCTTCCTCAGGAAGCTCATCTACCGCGCTGCTGGTGACGAGGGTCTCGCAGAGAACATTCCAGTTCCTGGACAGTTCATTCCCGTTCGTCAGCAACAGGAGCAAAAGGTAATTGCTGCCGAGCCCGTCCCTCAGCGCAATGCAGTACACGACTTCCTCCACCCCCAACAGACTGTGGAGAAGATCTTCTACCGCACCGAGTACCAGACTGTTCCCTGTGTCGACACTTCTGGTCAGGCTTTTGCCATCTACCTCAACCTCATCTACCTCGCCCCCCTTACCTTCCTGTTCATGCGCTTCTTCTTCAAGTCGTACCTCCACCGCTCATCTCCCAACACCAAGCGCGACTTCACGCCCCGTACCATTTCCGACGCTGCTGGTGATGCCGGACGCAAGGTAGAGCGTGAGCTTGACTCGTTCGACAAGTCGACTGAAGACGCCATCTCGTCGGGTGTGAACATTGCCCGGGATGCTGTTCGTGGAAGGAAGTCAGTCAATGGCTACGTCAAGAATGAGAGGCAGAGTGTGAGCCCCGCCAACCAGAAGATCCTCGACAACATCAGCCGCCGAGCCAGCCAGAAGCTGCAAGAACTTGAGGATGGCCCTGAGCAAGCAAAGAAGATTGCCAGGGAGGTTGTTCGCAAGGCCGAGGAGGCTGGCGAGAAACATGACCAAGCCTATGAGGACAATGAGGACGACATTGCCGAAAAGGTCAAGGAGGCCATGAACAGCCGAAGCTCCAGCAGGAAGAACAAGAAGCGAAACCAAAAGGGCCAAACAGATGACGAGGTTGCGCAGCCCGAGCAGGAGCCCGAGCCAAAAGACATTAACAACACGCTGAACAAGGGCGAGGGCTCGTTTTAGATGAAGAGAGCTTTATTTCAGCTACACATCAAGACAACTCTAAGCGTACTTTGAGCTACACACCAAGACGAAGAGAACCTGCCCGAGAGGGGTGTGGGGAGGATACTTTGAAAGCAGTTGGAGGAGTGGAGACGAACCGTTTGGTTACCGTCCCATTGTCATCCCAGTGGGGAGTACGACGCCTACCTACAACTTCTTTCACCCATGTACTAGACATTTAGATATCCAAGCTTCCGGTTTTTTTTTTGCCGCCTTACAAAAAAAGTCGACTGTAATACTTAGAGAGAAGATGAGTGTTTACTAGTTTGGCGCGAAGAAACTAATTTTTTCTTCTTCTGGCTTGGATAGGAGAGGCTTCATTCTTTGGTCTTTGATCTTTGATCTCGGCATAGCATGGCGGGGCAAGGCAGGCTTTTTCTTTTTTGAAATTTTAGTAAATGCGGAAATGATGAAATGTATGGATTAAATGGATTGGTTTGGATTGGAGTGGATTGGATTGCATGGCGTTGAACCCTCTTTTTTTTGTTTTGTCTTGATAATATATGTATCAAATAAAGGGGATAATCAATCATTGTTTGATTTCCCCCCCTCTTGTTCTCGCTCTCACACATTCAGAGTATGCATCGATGGATATCAACGAATATCGCCCCTCTGCCCATCCCACCCTCCACCCCGTCTCCCCACACCCATCGCCGCTCCGATCCCACCGCCCAACTCCAATCTTTCTTCCCTTTCCCTCCTCGCTCTTCTTTCTCTCCTCGCAGTCTCATCTCCCGCCTCCACCGCACTCGCATGCACATTACTACTACCAAATCCCCTACCAGTTTCCCCCCCGTGTCCTTTTCCCACCTTCCCACTTGCACTTGCATTTCCCACTCGCACTCCCACACTGCCCTTTCCACTCTTTCCTGTTCCACCCACAGCCCCACTGCCCACACGCCCAACAGCATGGTCCTCATCGTTCTTGGCAAAGACCTGGAGGCCGCGGAGATGCGTATCCTTGCCATTCTGGTGGTTCTCGAGAATCTTGATTTGGACTAGATGGGCGCGCAGCACGGGCATTTTGGGGATGCGTGTGCGGAGTGGCGAGGCGCGCGGGTGCCAGGGTAAGGGCGGGTGAGGGGTGAAGATGTGCGTGTTATTGTTGTTGTGATGGTTGGGGCGTGGAAATGGGTATGCGGGGGGAAAGGAGGAGGAGGAGGGGCGGGGGAGGGTGGGTGTAGAGGTTGTGGGGTGCAGGGTTGGTGTGGCATGGTCGAATGACGACGAGGGCATGGCGTGGGGTTGGCGAGGCAGCGGAGTAGTGGTAGTCGTATGATGGTGGTGGTGGTGATGATGAAGTCGAGTCTGAACCGGCGTGTGTAGATCTAGCTGAGCACTTGGCGTGTGGAAGGGAGCTGCATTCTCCGAATCCGACGAGGCGTCGTGTGGGCCGCGTGTTTGCGTGCCGTTGGCCTGAGGAGGGGGATGAGGAGCGGCGATTTGGTGTTGTTGCTGGTGGTGACCATGTGGACTGTCTTGATTATTATTGTTGTCATCGTCGTCATCATCGTCGGAATTCTCATCACCATCACTGTCTACGTCGCCCACGCCCGAGAAATCCGCCCACACCCAGCCTCGCGGGCTTTCCAGCCTCATCTCGCCCCACTCTTGCAGGTCGTTCATGCCGCTCCCTGCGAGAAAGATGATGCGTGTGGGCGTGTAGCTTTCATCCTGCTCAAAGTCCAGGTACAGGCGCAGTCCGACGATGCGGACGAGCTTGAAAAAATGAATGTTGAGGTAGTGTGGCTGGGGGCCGTCCGACTGCCAGAAGAGATTGGTGTTTGGGTGCCGCAGCTGGGGGATGGAGCAGCCTGGTTTGGAAGAAGAAACGGTCCAAGAGGCGAGAGTGCTAATTTCACGGAGATAGGGTGGCGGTGGATCGAGATTGGGAAGGGGGGTGGTTTGCGAGGGAGAGGCAAGGGCTTCTTCGTCTTCGACATCTTCTTCGTCGTCGTCGTCGTCTTCGACGCCCTCTTCGTCGTCGTCCAGGCCTACGAGATGGTGGTCTTCACCCTCGTCGTCGACGTCTGGCTCGTCTTGGCGTTCCATGTCGTCGACGTCATGGTCGCTATCGTCTGGGTCCGAGGGTGGGGATACATGGTGAGAGTGGCCCCGGCGGCGGAGTGAAGGGGGCATGGCTCTCTCTCTCTCTCTGGTTGACGCCACTAGTCGCAACAGTCAGCCAGGCGGATGACGGGCAGGCAACCGGATGCAGGGATGGCGTAATTGAAGGAGTGCAATATGCTAAGGTAGGGGGCCAGGGGGTGCGATACGGCGTCAGCGGATAAGCAGCCTCAGGCCTGGAACATGGTCGTGGCAGGCCTGTCAGAATCGCGCGCAGTATCGACGGCAGTGGGAGAGGGCGTGTGGGATGACGATGGGTGGGAGCCGGCAGCGGACAGGGGGCAAACTGGTAGAGGCCCACTTGCGCCTCGGGACTTTATGCCGGCATCGCGAGGCTTCAGCTTCGCGTGGGTTTGTCGAGTCGAGTTAGGTGGATGGTGGTGGAGGTGCAGGTGCAGGTGCAGCTGCTTACGTAATCAGAAGTACAGTAAGTAGGGCGATGAAAGGAACCGCAGGCCCACGCGTCGGCCGAAAATCGCTGCAAACTGTCAGGCACAAGACCACGCGCTTGATCCCGCCGCCCGAGCCTCTTCTCCCCCACACGCATCCATGCAACCGGCCTCAACCCATTTGCGCCGCCATGTGTATGCTTTGGTCGACATGCATACAGCTGCGCACCAACGGTCGAGGACCTAACCACCGCCCATGCCACGTCTGGCCTGCCGATCCAGCGCCTCGCCGCCACCTCTTCCCACTCCCCGTTTCACCTCGACCCAGTCCCAAATAGGCGTCGGACTCGCTTTACATGCAACCAATCTGGCGACCTACACGCCCCAGGGCCTGTTGATGCCATCGGGGAAGACGGACAATGCGTGGCCATGACTTGCTCCCCCGACCCCGTCCACTCGTCCTCACGTCCCTCGCCCAACCGACTAGTCGGATACGGATAGTTTACCCAATCTTGCCAACGCTGCATCGGCACCTAAAAGGGTTTCATATCGCTGGTCGAAGGGCCCTGTACCTTTTCGTTGCTTTTTGCGGCATGCGATACATGTCAAACTTCCGCGTCATGTCCACATAGCCAGCTACCGTTTCTGACCCGACGTGCATACACGCCCTGTGCAGTCTCCAGCCGTTTTATGTGCTATAATTGAGATGCCCATTTCAGCCATCCTCCCACTCGTTCGAGCTACCTTCCTCATGTCCTCGTGGTCCCAGGCACTTTGTTTCTTCCCACATCAATAATACAACCCATCTGGCACACGACCGCACCCTGTCATAGCATCCAGCGAGGACCCCATGGACTCTCACCCCCCTGCCGATATTGCAGAATCGGTCAAACACCAGAAAAGAATCACGATTGCTTTTCTGGCCATGGCATGGTTCTTCGTCCTCCTGAGGATATGGACTCGCACGTTTATCATATCGGGTTTTGGCTGGGATGATGGCACCATGCTACTTGCTGGGGTAAGTGTCTCATCACTGCCCGAGCAGCCAGTCCTAACATGAGCAGATGATGTTTACTGTGTACTGTGCGACAACTCTTTTCATCGACGCTCACGGCGCCGGCACAGTCATAACAAGCTTCGACCAGCTGAAACTACTGACAAAGGTACCATCATCCACTCGACTTTACCGAACACTCCAGCTAACCATCCATTGCAGTGCATGACCATCGCCGAAACCTCGTACGTCGTGACCATGATGATCGTCAAAATATCGCTGGCCATCTTCTTTGCCCGCATCGTCATCAAGCCCTGGCATGTGAACCTGATCAAACTCGCCCTTTGCATCAGCATCACATCGTCAGTCTCCGCCTTCTTCTACAGCATTTTCCGCTGCGGCCCGAATTTGGACGACTATGCCATGCGACAAATACTCCAGCAATGCTCGAACCTCCCCCTGGACCTCTTCATGGCCTACCAGCAAGGTATACTCAGTACTGACCGGCTCGTACTTTGCACAAGGCTAACTTGCTTTGTTAGCTGCGTTCAACACCCTCACAGATTTGATCTTTATTGCCATGCCCGTCCTTGTCCTGTGGAATTCTCAAATGAAGCTACGAACAAAAATACCCATTTGCGCTATCTTGTTGATAGCCACACTGTACGATCTCGCACTCTAACTCGTCGACCCATGGCTAACATGCATCAGCGGCACAATCTGCTCCATGATACGCTTCAAATACGTCAGCGGTATCCTTAAGACCAGCGACTTTTTCTGGCATGCCGTCCACATCTCCCTGTGGAGCACAGCCGAAGCCGGTTCCTGCATCATGGCCGGATGCACCGCGACACTGCGCCCACTGTTGAAAATTATCATCGACCGAACGCAAATGTTGACACCAAGCTCCAGCTACAAATCGGCGGTATCAAGCTTTGTAAAAAACCGCCATCGCTCAAAGCGCCATTCAATGCGCATAGCGCGCCTCTCAGAGTCCGATCTCCTTTACTCGGCCGCTGACGACAAGCGGGCAGGCTCCCAACTCACAACGCAGCCAGCGTACATCGAGCTTGTCGCCCAGCCTCCCGCCGCACACATCGCGCCACCATCTAGGGCTATTGGCAAAAGCGCACGAGCAAGCACGTATAGTCCACATGTGCAACAACATTTGCAATCCAAGCCGTCCTCTTCTTCGCTACCCTGATCACACCAAACGAACCAACAACCAAACGATAAAATAACGGTTCCACACAACAGGCGCACAACAAGGATGCAGGCGTTATACCCCCGCGGAACGCCGCCCGTCATAAATGGCCGGCGTCAAGCTAGACAAGCCACAAAGCTGCACTAAGAGGGTCCGTCCGACCGCCCTAGCTTCGATGATCACCGTGTATGGCATTGGCACGCTCGACTGTTGGCTGCGGACATGCTGTATTCAGCAAGCCACTACACTCGCCCACGATATCGTGCCGAGTCATGCTGCATCCGCCGCGTGTTGCTGTATGGATACTTGTGGCGTTGAGGTATTTGCTAGGCATACCTCGTACGAAACTAAGGCGGATCTAGGCCGTGGCACCTTGGAAATATCGTGTAATGCAACGCTCCAAGTCACAGATAAGGCAAAAGTCCCAAGATGGATCATGCACAACTCATCGTCATGGCCGGCTGCTCCACTCCCTCTGCGAAAAACAGAGCACACAAAGTACATGGCATCCACGGAGAAAAGCGACATGCTGATCATCGTGCATTCCCAAAAACAAGAAAAGAACAGAAAGATACCAAGCGCGAAATGATATCCAGGGTCCAGCGACGCCCAAGCGAGGTGGCACAACTTTAGAGTTTTTCCCGTGTTTGTAGCTGACTCTGCCTCGTGGTTAGAAGGCTGGTTCCTTGTCCTACACGTTCGCTGGCGTGGAATTTTGCTGTTCTACTAGGACACCCGCTAACCCGAGGGGCTAGGCAACTGCACGCATTACATTAATTACACTAGACTAGGGCAAGGATAACGTTTCCCCAACTAACTCTGTGGGAAATAAGGAAAAGGTCTGCTTACGTATGAGGCTGGAAACTTTAATGTCTATGATGATAATCACAATCAATCTATTATCTTGCTTCGAGTTACTGTCGTGCATTACATAAATTTATGGCGTTATCACGTTAAACGAGGTGATAATTGGAGTTGTATAGCGAATATAACTTCATGACATCATACATGCATCGATGCAGGACTGCGCAGCTGAAAAACCCACCTTATCTATTACACCGCAGTCTTCGCATTCAGCCGCTGGGCCCCTCGCGTCTCAAAACTCATGTCCTGCACCCTACATGTTCTACCTCAGGCCATAGATTTAACTCTGCAACACCACACTTACCTACTTGTTTAACTAAGGTTTCCTGCTGCGTTTCAGGCACCAAATACTGCAAGTGCTGCTTTCCCGGGTACCCGGGCTCTAAGCAGCTCCGCGGTAAATAGCTTTGTCGCTGTATCCGGCGTACCTGTGGATTGGCAAAGCCCAGTAAGTAGCAGCTATCTTGCACGGAAAGTAGGTGGGAACACCACTCCGAGTCTTCAGCCTCACCTCCCCAAATCTCGTGTGCACCGTAACATGTGGTGTCGCCCGAGGTAACATATTCTTATTCTGGAAAACCCACCCTCCACCCCCCCACGTTTGTCCATTTCTTATGTAAGGGGGTTTTTTTTAAATCCATTTCAGGCGTTTATATATGTAGCAAGCGCAGCTTCCCCCGTAGGAGTCTTCTTCCCACAGATTCGGCGTATTCGCAAAATTCACAGCGGGTAAATGCCATGGCGGAGCTCAAGCCACGGTATGGAGTCATCCTTGGATGAGACAGGGCAGGCGTTGAACTTGTAGATTTGGAATACGAGGACGAGGTTTAGCCCGCATGTAGTCTCCAGCCATGAACGAAGCGGATGAATTGGTTGAAGGAGCCGCGATGAACAATGGACCTATCTATGCATCGAATGAGGACAGTGATTTCAGAACCCCTGGGAACCGTTTGGAAGAAGGCTTTGATGTCGTTTACCATAGCAGCTTGTCCTTTCTTTTCCTTGCGCCACTCGAGGTCGACACGTAATTGCTGCTTGTGAAAGGGTGGAATCGAGGACCTCCCATTTGACTGGAACGGGTGCATTTTTTCCGAGCCGCTCCCCCAAGAGTAAGGCCCTCTTCTCTTCTCTTCTTCATACTACCGGCCCGATCATGTTGCATCTTGTTGCCGCTATATGACTTGGTGCTTGTCAATTCTTTGTTGGAAGATACGCCTAATGTCAGCACGCGTTGATCTTGCTATTGTGCGAGGGTGTGAAGTTATGGGTAAATTTTCAAGCTGTTGCGTCATACAGCACAGGATTGCTTCTGAAATTCGTGCTCACGCGTGCTACGGTATCTTACCAAAGGTGAGGGAGGATAGCAAAGGAAGACTGGGGCAATCAATGGACGAATCCACAATCGCAGCCTCAGGAAATTGATATGCAGACTCAAGGCTGTGATGTTTTCCATCATTGCAGATTTGTATGTAGACTGTTACGTGACATTACTTGCGCTTTTCAGGTAATCTTATCTAGCGAATCCTGATATACCCAATTGTATCAAAGACAAAAAACAGTTCAAAAAGCACTAGATTATGCTGGGTTGAAGATGTATGAGAATATTTATTGTCTTTGGATTCAAGAAACTATGCATTGTGTAGCCGACTGACAAAACTGACCTGCATTTTACCGACCCAGCAAAAATCAGGCAACTAGTCCATGCACATTCTCAACAAGCGCAAAAAAGAAGTCATTAGACTAGATCAGACCGAAGCCCAAGGGGCTCTGTTAAGATTGTTAGAATCCGTATTCGAACACGGGCAATGTATTGGAGTAAACTCACCGAACCCTCAACCTTTGGTGTAACAGGCAAAGTGCCGAAAACCAACGCGCTACCATTGCGCCAAGGCTCCAAGTAGATGATTTGATGGAGAAGAGGAGAAATTGATGTATTGTATTTCACAAACAAAAAGATGTGTGTGTGTGAATCGGCGCTAAAAGTGGAGAAGCATGGCGAGCTGCGAGGTTTTCTTGCGGTAAGTGGGGGTGGGGAAGGGAGGGGTACCAAGCTTGGCTGGACCCCTCTCTTTGTGCACTTCAATGGCTCTTGCATCGCCAGCGCACCAGCACCGACAGTTTGTTTTAGCACCATCTCAGCGTCTTTAACTGCGAGTGGAAAAGCGTAGCGTGGAGTTCCCGGCTCCGCACTACCACTACTGGTGAAGACTGCACGGCTAGAGGATGCATTCATCAATGTTTGAGCAACACGTCAGAATGGAGCGCCATGTTGCACTGGATGAACATTCATAATGTATCTATCTATACGCCAAACCATGCTATCGCTAATCGACAAGACAGTGAGTATACAAGCCTCGTGTTCGAGTAACACAAATGTTAGTCTAAGTTTCGCGGTTTCCTCCACAGCTTGTCTGTATCTAGCTGTCGGGTAGAATTTACACCGCTGCTTGGGTGTGATGCAGAGTATTCGATACCGCAGGATCCACGATCCAGCGCTAGAGTGTTCAGATCCCAATGTAACTGCTCTTCTGGATCTGTTGCCAAACTTGTGCGAGTCCGGCCCTGAATCTGAGGCGGCGCTTGATCGGCTGTCGAGGTGTTGGACGCCATCAATGACAGTGACAGACAGTCGAGCTCATTTGCAAACTCCATCTCCTCTTTACTGGCCTCCATGGCAGAGCAAATGTTGCTTGGGCGCGTCTTAGCCTTGAGCTCCATCTCGTAGACTTGCTGGTCACGGGAAAAGTCTGCCTCCAACTGTTGGTGTTCGGCGTACCATTGGTCATACTGCTCTTGTGTCATCTGCTCCATCCGTGGGTACAAGGCGTTGTGTTGGGCCTGGCGCTCTCCCCATATCTTGGCCGCCTCGCCTTGAATGCATTCGTGACAGATAAAGGCAGCTCCTACAGCATTTCCGTAGGGCTCGACACAGTTTGCGCCACAGTCCTCGACCAGATCTGTCCGGATACGATGCGAGCACAGGAGCTGGTGGTAGAGGCGCCCTTGACACGGCGCAAATCGTTTTGAACGTACATTGTTGAATGTGGAGGCGGATGAAGAGGGTTGGGTCGAGGTGGCGGAGGGTGAGTTTGCGCCACCGCCATCTGCATCTGGCGAACTAGTCCACCCCCATCTACACGCCATGACGAGGTTTGCGTGAGACATGACGTCGTCTGAGACTTTGGAAGTTGGTGCTGTCCGAAAGGCGCTATTTGAGAAATCCATAGTCAGGAGTTTTTGCGGTCCAGCACAGGGTCGAAGTGTATTGATATGTCGGTGGCGTCAGCTGACGACGCGTGGTTGCCTTGGAGACTTCCAAGCAGGCGAGAGGGTCCAAAGATGGAAGCAATCCGATCTGCTAAATAGACAACGGAGTGAAGGATGCAGGCCGTGGGGAAATAATCGATGTGTTTCGTATGGTCTTGAGAAGGTGCATCGTGTGTGCACAGGGCACCTGTAGACGTGGAACGCTAGTTATCCAGCGGTAGTGGGCCTGCTATCGGAGTGACTGTTGGGTGGCCAAAAGGGCATGCTACCATGCAGGCGGGCCGATAGCGATATTCCTTCGAACGCGCAACGAGGGCCGAGGGAAATGATGTGCTGCTGGGATGGAATGTCGTGGACGAGTGAAAGCCGATGGGTCGCGACGCGCTGCGCTAATCCCGTGACGGCGCTAAGCCTTGCGCGGGCCGATGACGCTGTGGAAGCTTCGAGTTGCCTTCCGCCGCCAACCGCCAGCCACCTTTGAGCTTGCACTACACACGAACACGACCCAAGCTGCACTGAACTTCCAACGACAAGATACTGGCATCGCCTGAAACAACGGGGTTTCAACATTCACGTCATGCCGTCACATGGCCCGCAGACGGCCAGGAAGTGGCGAAAAAGCAAAAAGAGGACACCGGTCACTTGACCCCTGTTATACCAATCGGATTTGTTTTTCCTTGCTGTCCAACTATGTGTACTTATGTACCTACAGACTGGCGGCACCGGATGTCTAGATCAGAAACCTAAATCCCCGGTCCTGTCCAACGCCCGGCACACCGTTGATGGCGCCCTCGACGTGCTCGCCCCGGGCGAGCTTCTTATTGAGTCGCACCAGGATCATGCGCATAATGACCGTCATGATAATCACCAGTGCTGCCGTCGCACAATCTACGCTCAAGGGCACCGTCAGGTTGGGCTGTCCCTTCTTTGGCTGCGGGTACATGTAACTGGCGTAGATCGAGCTCGAGTTGCTGACGGCGTTGATAAACGCCAGCGCTGCCGCTCTCTTGGCGGGCGGGCGCGGCAACGAATTGGAGATCCAAGCCAAAGCAACAACATAGCCCGTGTACACACCTGGTACCATGAACATCATGGCCACGTAGCGGGGCGCTGTCGAGTGAGTAGCGGCTGCGAGAATAAAGGCAAACACACCAACGCAGAGAGGTATGACAATGTGGAAGAAGCGCTCGCCTGTGCGGTCCGCATGCCAGGCATTAAGGTAGGTGGTTATGACCGCAAGCATGTAGGGTGGCGCCGTAAGCAACAGCGTCTCGATGTTCGAATATCCAAGCGTCTTCACCACGGTTGGGAAGAAGTTTGTGACAGATGCTGATGAGACGATGGAGAGCATCAGAATGGTCAAAACCCACGTCTTGACATCGAGCAGAGCCAATTTGAGGCCGTGGAAGAAGGTTTGCGACTCCGAAGATACCCAATCGTCTTCACCGATATCCTCCTCTAGGCGAAAGGCGGCAAGTTGGCGCTCTTCTTCAGTCAGCCACGACGTTGTGCGTGGAAAGTTTGGAAGGATCCAGAATGCTGCTGCGGCGATACCGACCGTGATGCCGCCCTATGTCTATTAGCCAAATTCCGGCACGCTGCGAAACAATTTACCTCGATAATGAATACCCAGCGCCACGCTCTTAAGCCATGCGTTCCGTCCATGTTGCTCTTGATACCCGCTGTGATCAACCCACCGAACGCACCCGAGATCAGAGACCCAGAATACAGCACTGCCGTCCGAAAGCCAAGCTCCTTCCTCGTATACCACGTACTGAGATAGAACAAACACCCGGGAAAATATGCTGCTTCGATGAAACCCAGGAAGAAGCGACACGCGACGAGCCCGCCAAAGTTTTGGCACGCAGCTGTGGCCCCAGAAATGACGCCCCATATGACCATGCAGGTGGGAAGGTAGATTGCAGGCTTACCAGTCTTGTTGAGAAAGAGGTTGGAGGGGATTTGCATGAGAATGTACCCGACAAACAGGATAGAGATGGTCGTCTGATACGGTTAGTATGAATACCGCAGTGTCGAACGGGAGTACCACCATACCTGATATTGCACACTAGAGAGATTTAGCTCATCTTGAAGTCCAGCCAGACGTACAGCAGCAATGTTGTTTCGGTCGAGGTAGTCTACCAAGGTCAGCACCTTCTCTGGCGAAATCAATGTAACTCAAAAGCAACAGGACTTACTCATGATATACATCAAAATAACCATAGGCAGCAACCTCGTATCGATTTTGCGCCTCAACTTCTTCTCCGCCTCCTCTCGCGCCTCAGCAGACATAGCAGCCACCAGCGGCGGTGGCTGGAGTTTGCGCGTTGTCCCAGCGTTGCCCGCCTCTGCTTCTAGCGTTGTAGGAGCGATATTTTCCTCCGAAATATGCTCCACAGAAGGTTTCCGGTCGTAATCCGCGGCCTTGGTTATGGCCGCCATGACTGCTCAACTAGCCTGCGCGCTGTGCTATTGTAAGAAAAGGATCTAGCGCGACGTGGCCAAATTTCACAGCAAAGGAAAACGTCCTCAACAAAAACAAATGTCAGACAAGAACCACCAAGCAACGTTACTGGGCCCCAAGCTTCAACTTATATTAAGCTTACGTGCAGGCTCAGGCTTAAATGGCAGGGTTTAGCCGTGCGCCATGTACGTAGTCAACTCTCCGCACCGCACATTTACGAGTGCGAGCGGGTGCCGACAGCCATACAGGAATCACGGGCCGCAGACGAGATCAGCAGCTCGGCGACAGGCAACACAAGGCATGATTGGCCGTGACGACGGTAACAATGCAACGGTATCATGGGGTGCGGGTGCAAGATGCGGAAGCCGGGTTAGCATGTGTTTGGTTGAAGGAAGATTAATATCAGAATGCGGGGTGATGATCCACCGAAGGCCCGTCATACGTTGGACCGGATCCAGGCTCAACGCAACCCGGGATCACGGGACGGCCATGCAATAACCATAGCCATGGTGTGATGGGGGTACCCCATGCATGTCATTAATTTTCCTACGTGGCACAGCTGTTGGTGGTGTGATGGACGCTTGTCTGGGTAGTTCTCGCTAATCTCATAAGAGCCCATCTTATCACTTTACTTAATAGCCTTGTATGCTCGTAACTCTTGGCTTCTACCTCCTTATAGCCATCTCTGTATGATTAGCAAAGCCAAAGTCGCTTGAATATACATCGTACCAGCAGCTAAAAGCATACATGCTGCTCTTTGCAGTTCTAGCCCTCGACTCATAGTCTGCCTTTCTCCTGACCATGAACTCTAGAGTCACCCTGTTATAACCCACCTCTTCCGTGTTGTATACATATTTTGCGAGTGAAAAATCGTCATGGCGAAATACTATACGTACTTTGACTTTATAATCTTCTTTTTTATGGCAAACAGAACATGGGTATTAATTGCTACCTGCTGATAATAGATCCACAAATTTTGACAAGCCCCTATCACCTGTCGGATTCATAGATGAAACAGAATGGTGTATTCATTCTATTGCTCTGCGCTTGGCCAGCAGAACAATAAAGTTTATTAGGCAAATACATGAGGTTGCTAATATCTATTTGTCCAAGAAGCTGCCCGTTCGTGCGATCAAATGGAGCTCGCAAGAACACAGAACAACCAGTTTCCCAGGCCAATCTTTCCTACATATTCTTAAAGTCTATGATTTTTTTTATTGACCTATCTCCCTGTGTATTCCTGAAATTATTTCATCAACCACCCAACTTTTGGATCGTTTACTCGAATCGTAGTGGGTATCTCTCACTAATAATATATTGAAAAAAATAAACATGCTTCTACTAATTGTTCGGTCAACAAATAGATCGCTAGGTACATATATACTGATGAAATTAGGGTGCTGACTACTACAGTAATCTTGCTTACTTATACATGATTTTAAGTATATAGTGCTGAACCTACATCAACAATAAGACGTGCACTTAAAGCCTTATTCCCCGCACCTGTTGAACAGAAACTGGACAAATCGATATTCTACAGGCTAATATGCTCACGTCACATAAACCTTATTAATACACCTCGCCCAAATAGCAGTACCCTCAACCTACAAGATATGATAAGCCAAGGGCATGTTTCTTTTATGCATGGTATGGGCTTAGCTGGCGGACATAGTAGCAGCCACCACCTATCGCTACATTATAACATACGGCAAAAGCTCCTAGGTCTGCCGTGTGGTTGTGTCGGTTTACATGAATTATTCTCATCGCGGGACCGTGCCAGAGATCAGACTGTTTACCGACAACGGGCAGACTCCGTGGTGCGCCACGGTGCCTGTGCAAGGAGAAGCCCTCAGCATCATCTCCCCATCAGTATCTGGAGATATTGAACTGGGAAACATCGACCAGGGCCCTGTGGCCCACCACGGAAGCTGACAGTTTGATATCTGGATTCATCAATGAGCTTTCACAGCTGCGAGCACACGGTTCCAGCAATGTACCCTAGATTAACCTTTGTCACCGATGGCGATGCTCACCCGTTAGACGTATGCGACTTGAGTCAGGATGCGGTCATGTTTGCTTAAGAGAATGGACTGCCTCTCACGCATATAAGGCCCGTTGCAGGGTATCATGGATCTATTCGATACTGTATCGGAGAATGGATTGCATGTAGCATTGGCTGCAGCCAATTTCAGTGTCTGCTTGATTTCGCTATGCCAGTGATAGTTTCCTGAGTAGTCACTGAGTTATAGTACTAAGTATACACAGCTTAAATAGCATAACAATAATACAGACACCTGCTTACAGATAGGTTAAATAACAAGCTGATAGTAGATCGTTTAACCACCGCTAAAACTGAGGTACTGCACAAACCTTGAAAAGATTGACCAAACTATGCACAAGCCCATAGCTAGAGCAGCTTACTGTATTAGGGTCTTTGTTAGACAGAACCTTTGACAGGCACCTCTGTATGCTGTTAGTGTTTTTCAATCTTTACTCCCTATTTGCTTACCTTAGCATCCTTCAGACGGGTTTTGGCTAGGTTTTACAGTTACTCTACTATGATATAGGCAGTGGCGCTCTCATTATACGCTTCTGAAAAGTCCTATATACAGAGCTTATAGGAAAAGCCTTTTTAGGGGAATGTAAAGAAAAAGAGATTATATGCAATTTGGCCGTTATAGTGGGATTGTAAAGTTATGAAGCGAAAACATTAGGCAACTGAGCCGTACTGATCTGCGCTATCCTTGTCCACCCAGGACTAGTCTAGTTGTAATATCGTATAGCCAGATCAAAGCGTCGTGCATATACCTTCTAGAAGTCAGCTGAGTTCGGCCCGACGCAATTGAGGCTTTTACTATAGAGAGGTTCAATTCTAGCCATGTATTTAATAAAGGGGCATTCTTATTTCTTTCGCCATTAGACTCTCTCAGGATAGACATTATATCTGTTCGGTTCGTAGCCTATTGTTCTCCCTGCATACTCACACCTAACGATAGTTTCTAGTTAAGAATGAAGGCGACTACTCTTATTGCTTTTGCAGCGCTTGCGCTCCCGGCATTGGCAGGTGTTCCTCATGAACAGTCATGCTCTGTCGGATTTGGTTGCGAATGCAACTACAAAGGCACATCGGACCGCTGCGCTGTTTGGACCGATAAGTATTACGGCGTTTTCAGTAATTGCGATTGCCCGACCACGTATCATGGCTATGATCTTGAGAGCATTGACTGTATCAATGTTGGAAAGTACAATGGTCGACATAAGTGCAGGTATGTTGAAAGCATCAATAACATATGCTATGATTCACAGACTTACATAAACATTCAGGGATGGTTAAATGTCAGCTTTACTTGAACAAGCAACACAGGCCGGTTGAAGAGACACTACTTTACATTTTCTCGTCTCTCTAGTTCTGGTAACCATTTGCCTTTGAATAGAAGGTGAAACGTACCGGTATCCGCAAAACGAATGAAGTTGCACAGCAGGATCAAAGCATTATAGATGTAACAACTCTACATTTACTAAGTTTATAATAAGATAATACCGTGGTTCACAAGCGAGTCAGCCACTTTGCACTGGCGTGTCAACGTCGAAACTATAACGCGTGATGTGTCAATAACGCACCATCCGAACTTCCTCTACTGAATCAGATCTTAGCTTGCTCTTTTTGATATCCAATGAAAACGTTTTCGACGCTAAAGACGTGCTGCCTCTATCATAACATAACTTGAGCTACTCTCTAAGACTAACGAGCTAGGAAGCGCTTCGGACGCGACTGTGAAGCGGACTCGAAGCGCCTAAATCAACTAGTAATCAAGCCCCCATCGGCAGAGGTCCTCTGATAGGCCATCAGCATATTTTGACGCGCCCCAGAGGGCATGAGGATATCGCCGCTTGAAGCCAGCGCTTTGCAGTGTATTACACGTGGCGCAAGGCTTTCTCTACAACGGGCATAACCGCCATGTTGGTATTCATCATAACCATGGCCCCAAACCTTAAGTGCGCATTTCTGAAACCGTAAGCGACTGAACAAACACTGTATTTTCTTGGCTTGATATATCACTGATACGATTAACATTGTGCGATCGGCGGCAAACTCTTATCCAAAATGCAGAATCTATCCCTCCATGCTTCTCATGCCGACAATCATGTCAATCGCTCTCTCCACTAAGAAACATTCTAATAAATAACTAGCCCCACCACAAAGTGCGCGCGACCACAAAGTGCGCGCGCGGCCTCACCAAAACTACCTTAAAAACGAGGCTATAGAGCCACACCAAATAGATATTATCACGATATATTTTGGTGGTGAGATCAATAGGCTTTAATATATATATACAGCTATAGAAATCGAGACGGAGTTCTAATCGCGCGGCCGCGACGCGAGGTTGGAGGTGGTGAGCTTGCAGCACCTCCCTGAGGCTCCTCACCACCTTCGAGGCCTCGCGATAGGTCTTCTTTTTTTGAGTAGTCCTTTGCAGGAGCCATGAAG